GAAGACCCCCTTTGTGATACCTCGTTCGAAAGAACATAAAAAAAGAAATTTTTTCGCGCAAACCCGAAGTCATTATCTCAAACCGTTTCAAAATGGCGGCCGGTCAAAGTTCAAAATGGTGGCCGGTCAAAGTTCAAAATGGCCGAAAATGTGACAAACTCGATTTTTTGCCAATGGATTCACCTGAAATTCGGTACTTGGGGGTATTTTGGCACGAGAAAAACGAATTTGACGTTAGATTTTTAAAAAAAAACCCTAATTTTTCAAAATGGCCGCCGATTAAAGTTCAAAATGGTCAACAACTGGCAACCTCGATTTTTTGCCGATGGATTCGCCTGAAACTCGGTGTTAGGGGGTATCTGGGTTTGTCTCCTACCCAGTTTTACCAGTCCTTACCAGTAATTTCATGCCGTTCAAGGTTGTAGGTTGACTGCGCGCGAGTCACGCAACGTTGCTGATTCTCAAGGAACACACGACCGGCCGGACGACCGGCGTGGCCTCCGGTGCATTATTTTTCACCGGAGGCCATACCGGTCGTAACGACCGGCGGCTTCAGGCTGAAAGCTAAAAGAATATTACGAAGGTCTATGAAGTTTAGGTTTGATATAGTCAATTCTAAAAAAAATACCAAAAAGAAAAGGCTATGGCGCCGGGGGAAATAAGTACCTAAAACACCGTGGCAGTCAACGTGTTAATTAAAATTAATAAGTAATTCATAACTAATTAATAATTTATAATTAAAGTTGAGAAAAATGCTTTTTCGATTTTATATTCAGAAAGAGGACTAAGTTCCAGCTTAATAATTATTTTTAGTTTATTCAATTTATTATTTTCAGAAGAATTTATTGAAGCAACACAACAAGTTGGTCATTTGACTTGAGGCCATCTTATGTTAGAAATGTATGGCCATTCTTAAAATACGCAACGCTCTAAGGGAGAGGGAGGGAGGTCAAAGAGAGCGTTATGCCGTATTGTTTTTGGATGTTAAAGGATAGGGACCCATGTCATGTAAGCGTTACAAGGGGGGATGGAGTCGAAAAATCCGAAACTTAACGCTACGTTTCTTGTGAATGGCCGGTTATCTCAAATTCTGTCCCAAACTTTTCAACTGAATTTTGATCTCTGTTTAATTTTCTAGATGCAAGTATTGAGCGTGCTATCGTTTATAGCTGGTCGAGTCGGCTCAGCAATTGAACCTTTCCATGATTCCCTTGTACAGTATTTATCATTTCTATGGGAAGAATCGTCAAACTATAATCTCTTACGTTGCGCTATTGTGTCAGCCCTTGTTAGACTCATGCAGGTAAATTGATGGACATACACCCTCAATACAATTTTTCTACATTTATTGTCTGGTAATCTGATCTTGAAATTTTTCCACAAGTGAGAACCAAATAGTAATTACAAGTGAAGAAAAAAAAAAAAAAAACACTATAAAGTGGCCCGAACTGTAAGTAACAAAGTGGAGAAATGGTGTGGACCCAGCACCATTTCTCCACCTTGTTACGTACAGTTCGGGCCACTTCTTAGTGTTTTTTTTTTCTTCATTTGTACGCATAGTTTAGGGATATGTGTTTCGGGAGCGGGCGGTTGTGTCTAGATGCGTTTGCATCTCCAACCAGCCTTATAATCATTTTTTCGGGGTTTCCTTGTTTTGTTATGAGCGTTGTCCAGCAGCGACGGTAGATGGCGCGAGGATCACACTTTTGTGTCATGCCTCGGGTCATATCCATGACGGCGTTTTAATGCCGTCTTGGATTTTGCGGCATGTTAAGTTAGTAATTACAAGTATGTGCTGTTTGCTCAAAATTTTGCCAGAAAGATTTCTCATACCCTTAATAAGACACCATTTGAGTTCCTTGTTATTTTTCGTTAACTTTCCTTGCATTTCGAAAAAACAGCATAAACGTTTTGTATACATTTGCTTGGGAAACTGGTTGACACTGTATTGCACTGGAGCCTGGAATGCATGCCTGAATTTTATTTCCTGTTTTATAACCCTTAGGAATGTTATGAGTATTCTACGATAGTGGAAAAAAGTAAGTTTTTTCCAACGTCAACCGGCTGCGCAGAATAACACATTTACGGAAGTCAGCTTTGCCTGTTAAATTTATTTCAGACTTTTGAATTAATCATAGTTTTTCTCCTTCTAGATTTTTGCATCAAGTCAAAATCTTCCGTGGTCCTTCTTCCTGTCAGTGATAGAATTTTGTACAAATATAAATAAAGACGATCATGTCTACCTTCTGCCTGATGGACTAGATTTATGGCTAGCCATTGTTCAAAATACATCAGAGTTAAATGATGGATTACTTCAACTATTCAAGAATATGCCTCCTCTACTGAGTAAGTATCTCTATTAAAGACAGAGTGCTATCATAGCATTTCTCATGGATAAATTCTGATGATTTTCACCCCTCAATCAATATATTAATTTTTTGCACTGGTGGGATCCAACAAATTTTACAAAATGAATGTAAATAAGTATTCTGGAAATAGGCCATTAGACAGAGTGCACATTTAAGCATTATAGTATGTGTTTTAACCAAAATATTAATGTTTTTCGATGCATAAATTCAATCTTCCTACTCGTAGGAAAACAGTAATCTACTTGAGTAATTTTATACTTGAACACCCCTAAGGCAACCAAGAGCTTGGAACCCACGCATACAACATAGCCTGTTGGATTGCATCAACTCGGATCAGATAACAGCTCAACATTGTTGCCCAGTTGATTGTAGGGTCGCCAAGTAGCTGCCTCCTTGAAATTCTAATGAAAAAACTTTTAAGGATTTGTGACTCTGGCCAAAATGAAGAAAAATGTGAAAAATCTGCAGGCAGTAGCTTTGCTCCGTCCATTCTAACCCTCACAGCTGCACTAGTTTTTCTCAGTTTCTATCAAACAAAAATTATGTTAACTTCAAGATGAAACCTTAAGTAGCTAAATAGCCAGCTTAGTTCCGGAATCCTAGCATCAGACCCTCAAAGCTTTTTCCAGCTCAGTTAGAAATTTTTGGGACATCTGTAGGCTCAAAAATGACCCTTCTCCATTAGTTTTTTGTTTTTTCTTTCAGCGGAAGCATCAACTGAACACCTGAAAATCTGTCTTCTAATAGTGCAAGCATATGTGATCCTAGCACCTGAACAATTTTTGAAGGTTTGCGGTGAGAAAGTTGTTGAATCCCTTATGTACATTTTGACGGATCTGAAGACTGAAGGTGTTGTGATGGTGTTACGTGTCTATGAAATGTTTCTCAGAGTCAATCCTAGTTTAAGTATGCAACTCCTTACCATAGTTCAACCTGAAATCGCAGGGGAAAGAAAGCCAGCGCTAACCATCGTTTTTGAGTGAGTAGAACATGTGTATCAACTTATTGTGTATGGATTCTATGGCTAAAAAGCAAAACCACGTATCTCTATTGCAGTGTTCCAAATGTCCGCTTTTATTTAATTTTTTTTGAGGAGAAACAAGCGAAGTTAATAGTCTGAAATTTTTACCGAATATTCTGTTCCTTAATAGAGAAAAAAAATCTAGGAAATTTTCAATAAACTGCAATCATTAGTTTTTCAAGGAAACCACGATGTATGACAGGAAGCTTACAACGTCGCAAACAGAAATACGCACGTTTTGGCCATTGGAATGAAACTTTTTAGCAAAGAAACCATTTTAAACAGAATTAGATTCCTTTTAAGTAACATCCAGTATCAAAATTTAGAATAATCTTCTTAAAAATTCTATTTTTCTGTCTGACACAGGGTGAAATATAAATATTCCGCATTTTTTTTACACACCAAATATATTTTCCAGTTTTTTATTTTGCCAGAAGAAAATGTGCAACTGTGAGTGTCAAACCACCCTTAACTCTACTCTAAATTATGAGTTGGTTCATCTCCGCTGAATTAATTTCAATCTATTTTCTTACATATCAGTATTCAAAATTGACCTTTTAAAAATTGAGTTGACAATCGTAAATTCAATTTTAAATCAAGTTGATGTATAAAATTGACTTCTCCTTCATTTAGTTGAAAGTGTCTTGATATTTCGGATACCCTTATTACAATATAAACTTAATAATTTTTTTAAATGTGTTTTTCAGAGGTGTTTATCATTGTAAAGAAACAGAATACATGGCAATTACAATGTACTTGAGCATAGTCTCACGAGTTCTTCTTTTTTCCAAAGAAGTTTTTGCTGAGGTAAGTTTTCTTTTTTTTCGCATACTCCTCTTGAAATTGAAAGTTGTGGTTTGTGTTATTATTTTCATTTAAGAGCTGTATTTGCAAATCCTAAATGCTTACCAAGAACCAAAAAAATTGCAAAATTTGGAGATGTGAAAACAGGATTTGGCTACAAAGAAACATTGCATTTGATACAGAGATCGCTTGATGAATTCTTCGGTAAATGGGTGTATGAAGCGTACAACACTGCCAAAATGCGCAGCATATTTGCTCTTTTATGGATTTTTTCTGAAATATGCTCTAAATTTTTCCTTGCAATTATATTGTGTTGAAGTAAGATAACCGTGAATGAATTTTAGCTGCCGCAGAAGCCTCGATAAATTGCACTATCTTATTAGCAGCATTGCTAGACCCTATACGCCCTCTTACTATGGAGGTCTACGATTGATTTTTCCAATGCAATGTTTTTTTCATAGCCAATCCCTGTCATAATTTTTCCGAAGTGTGCTATTTTTTTTGTTGAGAATGATTCCTTAGACTCATGTGCAGAGGCTCTAGATTTTATTATGGCTAAAAAGTCCAAGTCTGCCAAGATTTTCAACTTCATCGATGCAATATATCGCAGGTCAGGTTAACCCTCTAAGACTCGAGAATGAATCACCCTAAAGTCTTGTTCTTTAAAATGTTCTTGGTGTTCAAAGTTTTCGCATGGACTTTTAATGATAAAACAAATCTGATAATACTTGAATTCTTCACTTATAATAATTTTTAATTCACCTTGTCTTGCTCTTTAAAGAGCAGCTCACTTGTATTTATTTTAAAACAATCTTGCGGGGTTGGGTTAAGCTTTGAAGGCTTTTTGCTCTTTTTTTTATCTTAAAGGATATTAAAGGGGATCTGGTAATTTTAAGGCAGCATGTAAGAGTTTTTTTTTCCTAATTCATCTTAATTCTTTTTTTTCAGATGATGAATCTTTTAAGTCAGCATGTAAACAAATCTCAGGAAGAAACTTTGTCTATATTTTTAGACAAATGGTTAGTGAAAGTAAATTCAGTGACAGTCTGTAATTCGTTGTCTGGACACGGCAACAGAAAATTAAATGGCCTCGCTTTAGTTTCTTTACTTACATCTAGAAGCAAGTGAGTAACTTTTTTTTTTGCAAATTTGTTAAAAGCATAGGTTTGGGAAAGATCATCTTCTGAACTTGATTTTGTTTAGCTTGTTACTGAAGTTTAACAGATAAAAAAAAAAGCTTCCAAGGCAGAATGGCTTTGCTTGTTGATATGGTCCAACTAAAAATATATATGTCATGGTGATATGATCAAAAAGAAATTTGAGAATAAGTGTCCTTGGGCGCAGGTATACAGTATCTCTGTCATCAGCCCGAATATATGCAAGTGCAGCCGTGAAAAGGTTAAGCCCATACATGAAGTAACTAATGGTAGGGAATTTCTTTCACTTATTTCTGGACACTGATAATAATTTAAAAATTTAGTTAGTTAAAACCTCTGAAACAAATCCCAAACACGTTTGGTAATCCTGATTTGAAAATGGCACTATGCTGTGTAAACCTTTCCAGAATCTCCAGGTTTCTGCTCATTTTATTTTCGATCTACTTTAAGTAATCCATTGATATTTTTTTCAGTACAGTTTTTTACCCAAATATTTGAAAGAAGTCTAATCTCTTCCTTCATTTTTTTTACAGCATAGTCCTAGAAAAGTTTCCGAAGATTGTTAGAGTCATCACTGAAATTTTGAACGACATTGTAGTGAGAGAAAATGATGAACTATTAGAGTAAGTATTCTTATTTATCACTTTTCAATCAATTAGTTTCTTTTTACATTCAACACTTTTTATCTTTCAACAGCAAAAACCTTAGAATGTTTCTTGTTTTTTCTTCATTTTCACTAAAATGTAAATACCTTTCCAAAAATGAACTGGATAAGCTATAGTTGTTGTCTCCGTTCTTGTAATGCACATCTCTAATGTACCATAAAAAATAGGCTAAAAGATGATCAAAATCTATCCCGGAGAATTATATGATGGTTTTTCTCAAGAAAATCCTGGAAGAGTGTGGAAAAAACTTTGATGTTTCATCAGGAAATGAGCTAAAAATCAGGGAATAAGCATGGTCAGCAATTCCAGACACTATTCCGGAGGGAGATGAGAGAGTGAAAATGGAGCGAAGATTCCTCTTCCGCAGGAAAAGCAGTTTTGAAGGAGAGCAAAAATTCTGATATGCCATGTTCAGAGTTTCTAAAATACGTTAGAAAAAATTCTATGCTTTTAACTAACTTTGAGGTAGGTGCCAACCTACCTTCAGATTCATAAAACTCGCGATCAAGCAAGAAATGTAGCTAAGCAAACAGATGGAAGGTGTTCTGAAGCATGCACACACATGTCTTCCTTGCGCTGCGCGAGGACTTATTTTTTTCAAAAAAAGGGTGCAAACTGGCGCGGTATATTGATGCACCATGGAAAAACGTAGTGAACAAAGATTTGAGCATGGCCAACTTTCTTCCAAATAAAAACATGAATTTTCCAAATAATTTGGGAATGAATGCCAAAGAACTGCTATTACAAGATGGCAGTGATTTTTACCTGCTACTGCGATTGCGGTCGGCGATATTGTCTCACAACCCTCTATTTTTCATTGCAGTGAGACTAGAAATAAGAAAAATTGATGTAACAAGAGTCAAAGAAAAACACTCAAGTGACTAGGGGCGCATCTCTGCGTCTTATTTGATTTTTTTCTGCATTGTTCACAGAATCATGGTAGGAGAAAGAGCGGAAAGTCCTCTTTTGTCCTATGAATCGGATACAGACACACAGCATGAAAGACGTTGTAATGAATTAGCCAGTAGTAATCCACTCCTCAAAATTACGCTTCACCAATATTTCCAGTTACAGGTAAATATAGCTCTTTAAATCTTTCAGTTCAGTGCGAAACCGGCGTTTTTTAGGCGAAAAGTTGAGCTTTTTGAACTACGTATTTCTCGGTTTCTGAGTTACTTTAAATGCTATCTTAAGTAAGGAATTGGTTTTCATTCATTCTTTTCTTATTGCATCTTGAAACAGAGTTGAAGCCTATTTAAGTTGATTTTTGATAAGACCATGACATTTTTTGTCATTAAACCTTGGGGTTTTTTATTTAATATTCTGAAAATACCAGGTAAGTATTTTACTTGGTGATTACTACGCATTTTTGGAGCCAAAATCCTGGACAAGCCCGCTTTTAAAAAGTCCAAAGACTCGAAGGAATTTCAAACAAGCCAGAATGGCGAGAAAATGATGGAATTTGATGTACTACGGTAGTCAGTTTACAATTTCCTCCCATTTTTCACTGATTTTTGTCAAATTAAAACATATTTCAATGTGGTATTGTTGCTTCTTAACTACATATAACATAAATGATATCTGATTCTCTGATTCTGAAGATCTAGTTTTGACTTTCCTATTACTTTCATGAACAAGGAATAGAAAGACGTTTGAGGGAAGCCGTAGAAAACTTTGCTCGCCCGTGATTGGCACTGGATGACATCTTTCAGTTCAGTGCGAAACCGGCGTTTTTAGGCGAAAAGTTGAGCTTTTTGAACTACGTATTTCTCGGTTTCTGAGTTAATTTTTCACATTTCAAGTAAGCGTATCAGGTTGTACGCGTCATTTACCTCAGATACCCCAGCCTTGCTACCTCAGATATATGTAAGCCCCTATCAAAATTTGTTCTGGGTATAGCATCTTATTCAGCAATGCATATCACAATCTTGGCATTGTGATTTGCATGGCACCCTGATGCGTCCAATTAGGGTTTTGTAAAGTTCAAGATAAGATTTCCTTCTCAATTAATTTTCTGTCTCTTACTTTTTCAGTTGAACGAGCTTAAAACTCAGACAGACCCAGGAATGTATAGTAATTTGTTACAAAGCATAGACTCGGAAACATACCGACAAGCAAGTGAATATGTACAGTTTTAGTGCAGAGATGGCAACTTGCATTTTCTCATTTTTTCAGAACCAAGTTTTCAGAAAGTAATCTTACTTTAAAAGGTATTTACTATTCAAGGAACAAAACTATTTTTCCTTTTCTTTCACAAATACATACATGTGCTCTGTAGTCAGTGTATGGAAAAATAAAAAGAATAGATGGATCAGTGTTTGGAAATAACGCTTGATCTTTAATTTTAACCTGTAATTTTTATAATATTTTTAAATCTTTTTATCATCTAACAAGACAAAAGAGAGAAATTTAGCTGCCCGTTTGAATGAACTCAGCAGAATTTGATATAGATAGAGCTTCCCTCTGCTAAGTTGGCAGTTGTTTACTTTTCCTTCGCAGACGGCTCCATTACTGTGACAGAGGATTGACAATGTTGCAAAAACATGACTCAGTTGAATGCGCGCGATGGTCTTAAAGTAAACAAATGCCAATTTATTGGAGAAAAGTTCTGGTCAGTTACACTTTTTTGTAGATTATTATTAATTTTGTTTAACCACCTTTACTTGATGTTCTTTCGTTTCTTATAGGTAATTTGCAACTGTTACAAACCTTTTTTATGAATGGTCTGTATTTAAATTTACTTCTCTCAATTTTTGTACCAGAAATTCATTTATTTATTTTATTTTGTCAAACCAGGGCACCAATTTTGATTTTGATTATCTAAAACTTGCTAGTCGTAGAGTCTCATATCCGTTTCGATTAGCCTCTAGGTTTGGCGACAAAAATTTCTCATTTATCGATTCTGTACGTTGGAATAAGTCTTTTTGCTTAATTGAAGTTGTCCACTAAGTGTTTCCAATTTGAGATTCAAAACCTCCAAATTTAGGAGGAAATAATTGTGTTTTTGGACATCTTTGCAACTGTTTTTCAGTAAATACTGCAAAAATTGCTCAACTTGTTGTTTTTCATGTGTCTCTTTAGCCTCAAAAAAGAAAAACATTTTCCCATGTCTCACAGTGAAAAGCCATTCAAATTTCTACATTTTCTAGAAAATTCTTAATTTCAGTCTCGGAAAGGAAAATTAATATTGATTCTAATGAGTTTACAGCATTGAATTGAAGCCTCTCTCTTAATATCTTTCTATTTTCTCTTAAAATTTTCATTTTTAGGGTAATAAATTAGATTTTGAATTACTTGATTCCTCCCTGAACATTCGATGATCCTCGTATCTTCAAAAAGTAAGACAAAATTGTGTATTGAATAAATTTATTTCAATTTCAATTGAAAAACACTTTCCAAAAACAAACAATTTAAAAATAACAAATAATAACCATATAAAAAGTTAAATATTGCTGTTAGATAAGGTTAAAAAACAACATTAGAAACAATTAAATTGAAGCATTTACTTTCTTTTTCACAGAAGTATAAGTTCAATGAATCAATAACTCTTGAGTCTAAAGAATTGGACTCGTTCCCTGCAAAGTGAGGGAATGGAATCTTATGTAAAAACAAAGCTGTTGTGCCTGTTAGACTTACAGCTAGATATAGCGGTGCCTACCGCTTATTAACAAGCACAATATTTTTGCCTAAAAATTAACTTTTCATGGAATGAATTCTGCTCTTTGAGCATTGAGAGAGAAGACCTTTGTTTTAAAAATAGCTTTTTGTACCGATACAAAACTTGCAATAACCAAACCAAACTTGGAATATTAGTCTCAAATTGATGTCATTAACAATAATTGAAGGAGAGGCAAATTTCCAAAAATCTGCAGGCTGATTATTTTCCGCGTTGGTATTGAAATCGTTACGTTAACGCCGTCGTTAGCGGCAAAAGTATAATCGAGCGATTATTTCACTCCGTGCCGATCATTAAATCCGTCATCCAATCATCCGTGGCGGGATATTTGAGTCCGTCGATAAGTTAAAGGTTGCTCTACGGCAACCTCTAAGCTAACGATTCTCGGCAAGCTAACCTAACCTAAAAACATACCTGCGTGACGTGAAGAAAAGAGAAGTGTTGTTTTCAACTTACGCCGCCGCGCAGTTGGAGCGCTGCTTGTATCATAAACGCTCTCTGATTGGTTGATTATTATCTCTCATGTCGGCAACGTTGGGATCCAGATCGCTAACTTAACGACGCTAAGTTATCGAACGATGAGTAACGATCAGCGGAATTCGAAGTAAATAATCGCTCGGCTAAAGGACGTCGTTAGAATTCAGTCGTTATCTGTGAGTCGCTAACTTATCGACTCGGATATCAACGCGGAAAATAATCAGCCTGCTGGTCTAATCAGGATGTCAATCTTTTTCTAATAAAAGTGTCCAGCGAGATGAGGTTAACTTCAAAATCAAGGCCTGTTTGCTTGAAAAGACTTTTCAGCCCTTTAATCAGCGTGAAGAACTCTTGGGTCAGTAATGACCCTGATTTCAGTTGCCAATGACATTTCATGAAATCAACTTGAAAATTAACTGATTAAATAAGCATTTTAGATGGCTATTTGAACACCCACATAACTCTCTGGTATTCATTCCAGATAAATGGATATGCAAAGAGTAGATTTTTGTCATGGTCTCACAAGACTATCCTCTCGGTGAATGTGATTGAGATGTTCCGTCATAACCACATAAGATTTGTACCTTTTTAGCCACGTTTCCAATCAAATGTCTCACCGAGGGACAAACTGTACCCGTAAAGGATCTTTTGGGAAGAGCAGAGTTTTGTACACTACTTCTAAAGGCTTTTCTTTAGCAGGGTATTTTAGCTTGAAGTTCTGGAGTATCTTGCATAGAACTACAGCCATGTCTTGCTCTGCAAATCTTTTGCCTGAAATTGCAAAAAAAAAAATTTTACTGTTTTAAAGAACAGGTCAAGAAAAAAAGGAAATGTTTTGAAACAGTTATCAATGGGAGAATGTTTGCCATTCTTGCAATTATCATCATTTTTTTCCCTCTACTTTCATCCAACGCATTTCCCAATGAAAATTACCTTAGAAACACAGAGGAAACTCCTGAATCTTTGAACAGCCCAAGAAAGTTTCTGTCACTCTTGTATAAAATATTTGTCAATCACTGAAAGCAGCGTTACATATATCTCAATTTCGAGTTTTTTTACTGCAAGGTACTTTCTTCAGGGACTGTCAAGTACTAGCTGTCGAGAAAATGATTCAATAGATCTTATTATTTGCTAATCTACAAATCTACACATTAAGACTATTAAGATGATCGGCGCATTCTACTCCTTTCCTTGAGCCAAAATTTTGCCTACAATTTTGGATACGTAATTTGACTTCAAAATTTCATGATATATTCTAGAGACTGATAAAATTCACTTCTCTAAGATTCAAATATTGTTTACAAACAGTCAAATTATTGAAACTTTGTCAAGAAAGTAGTTGATTTGAGATGAAGAAAAAGGATGACATTTTCAAAGCACGGAAAATTTTTCTGTTCATTTGAATGCATACCTGTGCAACTTCGAGTTCCATGACCAAACGGTATGAGAACGAATGGATTAATAGAACTCCCCTCATTGCCTCGCATCCATCGGTCTGGACGGAATGTATGAGGGTCCTTAAAAAACTCGTCAGACTTATAGTGGACATTCATGTTGATGTTAATGGCTGTCTGAAATATCGGAAGTACAATTAGATGATGATGAAAATAAATATGAGGCACTAGTGGTGAACCTTTCTTATGATTCATAATATTGTAATACACATGACATCGACACAAACACACCTTGACTGCGACTCCGCCTCAGTGCCTCATATGGCCCTGCACTGTGCTTTCAGATTTGATACAAGTCGCCCCCAGTGAAACAGCTAGAAAAAAATAATCTTACGCAAGTACAAAGGGAGGCAAATTAATGGAAAATGGCATTGAATTTTTTAGTCCTATTCCATGTTAAAAACCAAGTGCATATTTCAATGAATTGTGTAAATTGTTCTAACCATTTGTCATTCTGATCTGCTTTTGCTGACCTTAACCTTCATCAAATGGTTTTTTTTAAAATTGGGTTTTTGGAATGTTTTGGGTTTTGCTTAGACTATTTTAACATAATGTGAGGCATCACCAGCTATTGGGTTGATCCAAAGTTAACTGTTCTGGCTTTGAAAATAATTTGAAACTATCAAGAGATTTTTAAAAAAATGATTGGGACAAAGCAATTTATACCTTTTTTAAGAAAATAATTTTGAAAACAGCAAAATTGAATTACCTCAGCAGGAACTAAAAAGTTGGAGAGCAAAAGATCTTTCTTTAGAATTCTAGCGATTTCCACACCATTTGGAAGAACTCTGAAAGTTTCTTTGATTACAGCTCTAAGGTACGACAACTGATTGACCATTGATACCGTCAAGGTTTTGCTCCCTTTGGTTACTTCACAAATTTCTTTGTATGCAGTCTCTTGAACGTCTTGGTTCATGGCCAAACAATAGATATTAAACAGCAGTGATGGCACAGTCTTCAAAAAAAAAATAGAAAATTTAGTGGATTTCATATAATCAGCTTATCAGTATTTAAAAATTTCAAAAAATCATACAGCTTTAACAATTAATAATTGTGACTGTCTACCCTGTGACTGTAAAATGAGACCCAAGTCTACAGTGACAAATTTTTCAGAGGAACGGCTTTTGTCCAGTTGGGTCGAAAAACCAAATTTTGAGACCTCGACAGAGATGTCTTTCTAGTATCCTTGAGAATGAGTTTTGAACGTTCCAGTCAACCTCTGTGCTAAATAAAAGCGTATAGTTGCATTATGATTGAGAAATTTTGTATCCTACTCAAGACAGATTACAGTTTCAAGTAGCTGTATTTCGAATGATGTTTTTTAAACTGCTAATTTAAAACCACCATATTTCAATTTCACATTTTTGGACAGTTTTTTAGAGGTAATATTACTCTATGCTCTGATATTAATAAAATAACTCAGTTCTAAGTTTTTAGAATGAATCTTTTTTGAAAATAGTAGAAACTCAAAAAAAATACAGTGCGCGATTCCACTGGATAAACAAAGTTGTATTGTACTTACATTTTGTTAGTTCTGTTAGTTGGTTGAATGGAATAAAAGAAAAAAAAATCGTGTAAGTCAAAAAACCTATGCAAATTAAGCGGAAGAGATTTTTCCCACATTAAGTAATTTAGGATTGGTATTGGGGATTAAATTAGGTAACAAAAGGAAGGGGGGGGGGATTAGAGCAGAAAAGAGGTTTTACATACTTCAAAGGCAGATTCTTGTTTTGTTAGTGTATTATACCTATTAAAAAGGAAACGTACAGTGCTGAGTCCATCAGAATAAAGGGAGAGAGTGATAACAGTGACATCCTCTCTACTAAGTTCCTTCTTTGCCAAAAGAGACTTCATAAACGGAAACTGATCATTGGACAGTTCGCCACGACTTTCTAGGGCGCTCAAATTTTCTATCGTTTCGTTCACAAGACGAATAGCATTGCTAAACATGAAAAGATTCTGAAGTAATTTAAAATAATAAAAATTACACTTATGGTTTGTACTACGAATCTTATGGGACAGAAAAACCTAAAAGAAAGTTTTTGAATCATCTCAATGATGCTGAGCTAAGAAACCAGAAGAAAGGAAATTATGTTTGAAAATTTCGATTTTGAAACATTTTGGTTTTAGTTCTGAAAACAGAGAACACAAATACTGTCAAATTCAAAACAAAACGCCAAGAGGGAAATACATACATATAAAGTTGATAATCTATTTTTTAGTATGATTAATTCATTGAATGTGCATATCACTGCTACATGTAGTACCAAAATAACTCAAACTCCTAACGAATTTTAAATACAGGTTGTTGTAAGTTCAAAAACAAAAATCAATGAACAATTTTTTCATCTCTTGTTAGGTAACTTTTAATGCTGGATTTGATTTAGTAAGTCTTGAAAGATAATACCTCATGATGATATTTTCGGCTGCAACAAGTTGGTTCCATTTTGGTGTGTTCAGGTACTTATAAAATGGTAAAGAAAATTTTAATAGTGCTGAGTTGTAGAAAACAGTGTGATTTGCATCCAAAATGTCTTTAACGTGCTTCTGTTTATCTTCGGAGAAGTAACCGAGCCGGCGATCAAAACAAACAAAACCAGAGGCTGAAAATTGTCACAAGCAAAAGAATAACAAGCTTATTTTTGGATCAAGATTTTCAAAACGAGGCTAACTGATGTGGAAGAACCGAATTCATACAATTTTCAAGAAAGAAAAATTTCTACAAAATTTGAGCCTTTTTAAGAAATAATGCACCCAAATAATGAGAAGACCGTCCATATAAGAAGATTTTAATCAATAGAAGGGTTTAAATTTAATGCTGTGCGTTACAATTTTGGCATAAGAACATCCATGCTCTTTTTTGCAATGATCAAACTTTAAAATTACAAACTTAATTCGGTTCTTCTTACCTTCTTGACTGTATTTCCCAAGTTCATCTTGAAGAGTGATAATCTGGTTTTTAGAGTCTCTTTTGGAATGAAGAGTTTCAATGAGATCATTCGCGATTGACTGAACTCCAGGTAAGTATCCTTGAACATCTCTCGGTTGAAGCATTAAATGCCGAACAGCATTTCGCAAACGGTACCATGTTTCACCATTTCTGGGTCAAAAAAATCATCAGGAGTTATCAAAAAAGAGCCCATAGGAGGATTATATTTAAAAAACCTGTGTTGTAAATAAGACATGATGCAAGGACTTTATTCCCAAATTTCTGAAGATGGTTACACAGTCATTTGTCATGTCAGGATCCATCCTTTTTTTTTTATGAAAAATACATATTATTTTTGAAGCTGGAGCTTCATAATTTGACACAAAAAGAAATAATATTGACCTGCTGCCAATGTAATGAGACACAGATAAGAATACTAAGGCTTAGGTTTATTCCTGGAAGCAATTCAATTTGTTAAATTATAATTACATACTTATCTCAGTTGAGGGGCTTGGAGGACAAAAAGTGAAAAATGAAAACTGAAGATGGACTTACGTGTTACCTAATCCAGGTGAGTATTCACCTCTTTCCCGGTAAATTTGAATGGTCTCTTGTAAAGGTACTACAAAAGGCGTTTTGTCTTCATTATAATACACAGTTTTTGCATCGTCTGGGCTAAAAAGATGAATAATTGTTTTTGACCCAATTTTTTGTTTTACAATGGGTCCATACTTATGATACAACTGATCCAAGACTTCATGATACTTCAAAACATTGTAAATACCTAGAATCAGCGAAGAAAAATTTCATGAGAAAACTCTACTGAGAAAAGTCCATGGAGACTCGAAAGAAACATTGGTGATAGGTATATGAATCTGAGTGTGGGTGAGTGATTAATCAGGCTGTTTCCTTATCTCATGGATCGTCGAAAAAACCCTCCATGGGTACACTACTTTTTCTCCTAAATTCTTTATGACCCCATAAGTATCTGCAGATAGGAAATAAGATCGTATGAAAACTTCATGGTAACAAATTTTACTCTGGGTATTACATAAAGTATAAGAGAAGCGCAGAGATGCAAATGGGGGGGGGGGGTTAGCCCCTTAACAATTAGGCTCTAAATTTATTCCCTTACCTAATTGTGTTCAAACAAACCAAACTTACCTAATTTGTAAAGGTGCAAGTTTCCTAAAACAGGTAAACAAAAAGGTCCAGGTATTTCACTCAAGGGCCTTGTATGAGTGTTGTCTTTGGCACTAATCTCTGTGAAGAATTTCTTTTTACAGGGATCCAGTCGGTAGATACTCCTCAAACATAGAAAATGACTCTTCCACCGTAACTTAAGCATCATAGATTGAATTGATTGACGATAATTATCCTCTTGGAAGAATTCAACATCTAGATGATGTTTTTGACAAGATTTTCATCTTTCAATAAAAAAACTAGAAAGAATGAAAAGACAAAATATTAGCTCTTTGTAAATTTTTGCTAAAAGCAATAAAGTATACCTCTGTTTCTAGGTTCATCTTTATTTCTGAAGCAAATATTACTCCACATTATTACATGAAATTTAGAGAGAACAAATTGACATCATCCTTGAAGTTCTCTCAGAGTTTGCCCGGCACAAGGAAGAAAAATAACGGAGGTTTAAAAGAACTGACGTTGAGCGATTCTCCAATTCTAAAATAAAATATGACAGGAAGTTTACAATGTCGCAAACTGAGATACATGGTTTGGATGTTTCACCATCGATATGATAGGTGCTTAAAGACACAGAAAGTCGAAGTTCTTAACCGTCAGTTGTCATCCTAAAATACAGTCATAGCTGGTTAGAGACGACAAAACTTTGCATCACTGAATTCGATAGAAAACTAAATCCAAAATATAAACTAAAACATAAATTGCACATAGTCAAATAGTTAAAAGTAGAGTAGTTAAAAGGCGGTATTTTATCGTACCTTGGTTCATTAAATTTTTCATTTTGGCCAATTAAGAGGCGCTTTCACTTGGTGACACTCTTTTATTTGGAACAAAGATTTTCATTAGCATGTCAGCAAACTAAATGATAAGTACTTCGTGTTTGCTTACATTGATAATGTGTTATCTACTGTTCATGAATCTGGAAATGCTGATAAGGATTGATGATAAACGAACATTGACAAGAACTGAGACGCATGGCACCATCGCAAACACGAGGACCGCTGGTTCTACGATTGGCTCATTTAAGTGCGGCAAAGTTTGAATAATCCAATCAGATTCCTCATCGGCTTTGTTTATATTATTCTGTGACGTCACTCGTAGGCCGGTATCGAGTTGTAGGTTATGTTTGAAAATGCGTTGTGTTTGATCTGTGATCATTTTTACTTTTTAGTTTCTACAGTCCAAAGTGAATTATAAATTGAAATGTGTTTGAATTCTCTCTTCTAAATTTTTTGAACTTGATGATTAGTGGTTTCAACACAAGCCGTTTCCCCGTGCCCCTTTATTCATCTACTTAATTGATACTTCGATCTCAACATGAAACGGAAAGGCGGTGAATTGGTCGTACAAGGTTCCGGCACCTTGGAGAAAATTCAGAAACTTGATAGTGTAAGTAGTATCATTCTAGGTTCAAGCCTTGTCTTTACCTTACTCCAAGCACCTTGATAGAAAACTAGGGCTGGGATCATAATTTTGACTTGGAGCGCTGATATTGCAGATCGAATCACATTATCTCTCTTTTGGCTGGATTTTGTTTGATACGGACTTTATGATATTTTCCTTTATGACGGACTTTATGATGTTTTCCCATCTCTTCAGCTAATTCATCCTTTCAATATTTTGTGTGCCTTGTATTGCGTACATTTTGAGATCACTGCCATATTCCTGAAAGGCATTGACGAAAAGACAGGATAATTTACTGCAGTATGCTGGAAGTGTCCCAGTTTTGCTCACAGTCCATGTCTACAAGTTCCAGATTTCAAGGATGATTTTGGTCCCCAGACATCCACCGAAAGGACCCTGCACAATCCTTATGGAAAAGTGTGCCTTGTTCGATTTTCAATTTTTATTGCATCAAATTCATCTAAGAATGGGAATCAAAAGTCATCTTTGTGGCAACTTTCTACAAAGCACCATTTTTGCTTAATCTGCGATTGAAGTTTCCATAATTCTGTATTGAAGAGTCGAAAATATTCCTCTTTCTTTCGACACTTGAGAATAGGCCTGCTGAAAACAAGGAAAAAGTAGCAAATATCTGTCCTCTGGTTCCCACTCAAGATTCCTGCCTACTCCTGTTTATCTCCCTCCTGCTTTCGCATTTTTCTGAAGCGAAAAGGCGTGCGGAATCCGAGACAAGACTGACACTGAGCGTGAATGCTGCGGATCTTTCCTCGTTCTCAGCGGGCCTGTTTTAGAAAGCCCCTAAAAAAAGGGATCTTTTTTAATCTATTGCAGAATTAACGAAACTTCAACCATGGATTGTGAGAAAACGGTGCTTCATTGTGAATTGGCGCAATGATGACTTTTGGTCAGCATCTGTAGACAAATTCGATGCAATAAAAAAATTGAAATTCAAAGAGGGTACACTTTCCCATCAGGAGTTTGCAGGTTCCTTTGCAATTGCTAGCATTACCTATACGTCTGCCAAATAAATGTCAGATTTAAGGGGTGGTCCATTAACGACATCAGGTTTTTTTTTCTCTGATTTTTTATTCCCCTTTCCCTCATATAAGGTACATGTTTGGATTGTCAAAACTCTCTCTAAATTAAGTCAGATTTGGGTCACCCCCTCCCTCCATTTCCCATACCATTCACCAAAATTCAGCACCATTTTCAATCAGCATTTTCTTAAAATGGACGTTTCACACCAATTTAAGCCTCATAACAGTTTCCGTTTGACCTCTTTACCCCCGTTGTCAGGTATTTGTCTAGCATCCCTTGACTTCCTCCCTCCCAAGACCCCCAACGTCATACACGGACAGCCCGATTATGGGCCATAAGGTCTGCTTCGTATATTTGTGGACAAAATGAGAGTGTATTTTCATGATTATCAAGTTTTTGGAATGATACTCTCTCTCTAGACTTGCAGGTTAATTTGTCACTGGAGATATTTTTTTATATTTTTTAGTTTATCTGAAAATCATACTTTCGTGCACAGGGTAATAGTGCATGCCAAAGTGATGCACATGTCCAAAGACAGAAGGAGTTTAAATTATTGAAGACTGATCAGCATGGAATATAGGTATGTGAAAATAAGTAGGAGTTGCAAGTTGAGAGACTGATAAAGGAGACAAGCCCCCCAGATTTACCCGGTTGAATTTAAAAAAAAAAAAACTGAACTTTCTAACTTTAATTTTTGTTTCAGGGCATTCAGAGGACTTCAAACCTTCCCTCGCCTATCATGGCTTTGGAAGGTCATGGAGGAGAAATATTTTGTGTCAAATTCCATCCAGATGGCCAGTTTCTAGCGTCGAGTGGATTTGATCGGCAAATATGTGAGTATCGCAAATCTGTTTTCTACTTGGATGAATTAAACTTTGATTAAAGGATTTAAAGTTTAGATTTGCGTTTTGACAACTAAAGAAAATACTTGTGTAACCGTGAGAAAATGAGCAAAGGTGGAGACAAAGTTACTTGATATTTTTGCCTGTCACATAATGTCAAAGTCACAAAATTTTTACAGTAAGGAAGTATGAACAAATTTTTTCCTACTTTACTCACGTATTTTCTATCAGTGAATCTATTTGCTGCCAGCTCATCATCCGCAACTGACTTATTTACTTTTCTTGTGCTCCTGTCATCGTTTTTGTGTCCAATATTGAATTATTCATCGAGTTTTTCATTCGTGTTTGGTATTTTTAGAAGCCAAGCTCAGAATCATGTAATATTTAAATATTATAAGACTCATTCGATCCCATTACCTGAATGTTGGTCTCTCTTCTAACGCTATGAATCCGTGTTTTCACACAAGTGTATATTTTACTTCCTTAGCATTTATACATGAATTATAGCATACTTTTTCTTCGTAGTCTTGTGGACCGTTTATGAAAACTGTGAGAACATCAGTGTGATGTCAGGACATACCGGGGCTGTAATGGATCTCCATTTCTCAACGGATGGAAGCACAATTTACTCCTGTAGCACAGACGGAACTCTGGCCCTTTGGGACATTCAAAGAGGGGAAAGAATAAAGAAATTAAAAGGTGAGATTTCCTCCCAGTTTTATTTGCCGAGCATTCAAGGAAGTACTGATGTTTGTAACACTCAGAAGAGTTCATGAATTTGTTTTTATCTTTAAGGATTTGAATATCTTTGACTTTTAGGGAACTAGCCTAGTGTATTTTAAGGTCCCTGAATTTTATGTTACTCTGTTATTTCATCCACTGCCACTGCTTTGAAGATCTCTCTTTTCTTTTTCAATAAGAACTAAAAAAATTTTGAGCAAGTTTCAAATTATTTATTTGTTCTGGGCAGGATTGCTGCATTCAAGAGATTCAGCCAGCCTGGAGGATACATAATGAGTAAAATCACACATCAGTCATGTCAAGCACATCAGAACTATCCACAATGCACCCTGTAATGCAAAATTTGAGGTGGTCTGTAAAAATCTTGGCTCTTTCAAATCTATCACATCCGAAAGCTCATTTTCTTAGTCACGAACAGTCACGTCACAGAGTGGTGGAAGGAAACTTGATGTAAATGAACAAATATTTTCACAAACCAAAGGCTCAAAAATGTAGTGCTAGCTTTAGAAAAAGAAGCTGCACTTTTAATTGGTGGAAAGTATCTTGGTGAAAACAGGACGATATTGCAATTAAAAAAAGAGGTGGGGTTGATGACATGGTTACTAATTTTTCAACATATCTCTGTCCAATAAAAATTTTTAGACGTTTTAATCCCCTTTATTAACTAACTTTTATTTGTTATTTCAAGGTCACAGCACGTTCGTTAATTCTTGTTATCCGGCGCGAAGAGGTCCTGAGCTGGTAGTCTCCGGCTCAGATGACTGTTCGGTTCGAATCTGGGATGCTCGAAAGAAAAACACAGCAACTGTATTAACAAACAATTATCAAGTGACAGCAGTATCTTTCAATGACACAGCAGAGCAAGTCTTTTCGTCCGGCATAGACAATGACATAAAGGTTTGCTCATTGTAACGCATACTTTCATTATTTTCAAATCCATCAAACTAAAAAGTTCCCACGATAGCATGACAACCGTGCTTATAAACTGTATCCTACCTCTGCTGAAAAGTCTGGTTGAATACAGAAGTTGATTCTCCTGGAGTTTTTTTTCCATTGCTGTCAAATAAAAATACGAATGCAACAATAAAAATGTTCGATGCGGCATAGTTTTTTCAAGCTGTCGCATTATCATGTTTCTCGCAAAATTTTTCAAAACATTCCTAAGATAGATTGAAAATTTTGGCTGCATGGGATAACTCAATTTTTCTTTAAATAAGAGGCAGCACTCTTCATATGTCCTATCCTTCCACTGAAATATTGGTAAGATATAAGTCCCATGGATTCAATATCAAAATTTAGCACAGAGAAATGTTTTTCAGTCCTTTCAAATTAGTTTGTCGTCACTATTTCTACTTATGAGAATACATTAAAAAAATTAATTATTTTCCCATTCAAAATTGCGCATGTGATGTCCATCTACTCCCTCCTGAGAACTTTGGTCCAAAAGAAGTCCTGTCTGTAAATGTTCTGTAAGGGTTTTATCCTTATGGGTCTCTTATTTATTTTTTTCTTATTTCAGGTTTGGGACTTGAGAAAAAACTCTGTTTTACAAAGATTACGCGGACACTCAGATACTGTTACTGGTGTGAGCTTATCTCCAGATGGATCGTATCTCCTCTCAAATGCCATGGACAACTCCTTGAGGGTTTGGGACATTCGACCTTTTGCCCCTCAAGAAAGGTGCATCAAAGTATTTTCAGGACATCAGCACAATTTTGAAAAGGTAATTTAATTTATCCTAAGGAATGTATCTGATAAAGTATACTTGAAATTCTCACAAAAGAGACAAAATTTCTCTTGGAATTTTATCATTTTCTTTTCTTCCACACATGTGTGAAATAATGGAATACATCAATGACTAATGCAGATAAAAAGAAAGAATTGGTTTAATTTTATTCCATTCAACAAAACTAAGAAACACATGGTTTCGTTTAGTTTTTAGTATTTTCAAGTGCTAAAATGCTGAGATGTATGAAAAGAGTTCTAGAAATATTTGCAGTTTTTTTGGAGATTTTTTTTTTTCAAGTCTGTTTCAGCAGTGACCCCTAGTTGTTGCAAAAAAGAGCAGTAGCAAGGAATTTTTGCAGGGTCTTCTTAGGTGAAATTTAGTGGAAAATCACAAAGTTCATAGTTTATAAAATAATTTCCAGGCGGAGAAAAAGCTAATTCAAAGTCGTCAGTCAAATTGACCTAGCAAGGCAAAGCTTTCAGCTGAGTTCAGCCAATCAGAAAATGCCATTTTCTCCACCTGGCCATGTTATCAGAACCTGTCTGTTTCAAACAGGTCCTGTTTTTGACATTTTTAAAACTGAGTTTCTTTGTCATTTAGGGTTAAAAAAAAAGCTTAAAAAATTTCTGGAAAGCTCAAGTCACTCCATACTTTAATAAAAGGACTCCTTACTCCGAAAATTAAAGGAAACCGGTAGCACTAACCCACTGAAACCATGAACTTTTCGTACCTTTGTGTATGTGGAAGAACATATCTTGTATTCTTCAAGCTATTCTCCATTCTGTAAAATGGAGAATTGATGTACCACTAAAAAGTAAAACATTTTTCAATAGGTAAATGGAAAGTTTTGACTCCACTGAGCATGAGATTATCCTAGGTTTTTAATGAAAAAAATACTAAAGGAAATATAATAGAACGATCGAATCTACTGAACCGTACAAAATTCAATCGGAAATATGTACATCTCTGTGATGTCATAGGGGCACACATATTCTCTTGTTTAAAGCTCTCTTCTATACGAAACCAAAAGTAACAAACTCTCCTCTTTTTTGCGAAGCAAAAGTTAAATAAAAAACAAGCTGCAAGCTCAACTCATCAAGCCCTATTATATGAATAGTCGTATTTTGTTCGCCGCAACAATTGTTTCCTGTTACCGATTTTGTGTTATTTGCATCACTTTTTCACAACCAATGAGAGCAAAGCAGCTAGAAGTGAGGTCAAAAATCTTGTTAACAAATGTACACAACAGTCGTAACAAGCTTGGAGGACGTTCCGATTGTTTCGAAACAACGTCGCAAAACGTTATCAAATTGTGCAAAATAAATAAATGAATAAAGATAGGCCCCGCCCCTCAACATAAATAACATTCGAACAAAATACAACTGTTACGAGATGTTCGGAGTTCTTTCATCGAACAAAATACGTCTAATCATTTAAATCTCATTGCATTTTTTCTTTTAGAATCTATTGCGTTGTGCATGGATGCCAGATGGGTCTAAAGTATCTGCTGGATCAGCGGACCGTTACGTTTATGTGTGGGACACAACCTCCCGCCGAATTCTTTACAAGCTGCCTGGTCATAATGGAAGTGTGAATGATGTTAGTTTCCACCCCTCTGAGCCCATCGGTAAGCATCGCTGACTTTCTCGATTATTCAACTTGTTTTAGTCTCAAAGAGTAACAAAAAAGTTGCCTCCTGTAAGAGTGGACGTGATTTTGACCCGCTTGGTAATAAGTTCAGAAATTTAAGGATTCATGACCTCCAAATTCCTGTTTCAGGGCACCTCAAGGGATCTTTCAAATGGAAACCTCTCACAATAATTTAACTGTTGAGTTTACAGGGTTGCCGGCAGTCTGGAAAACGGGGAAAGTCAGGAAATTTGTGGCAACAGGGGAAAGTCAGGGAATTTGAAGAAAAAGTTTGAGAATTTTTCAAGGTGCGTCTAGCCGTAGTGAGAGTAATTTAAAGGGGAAAAAAATCAAAGTAGAAGTTTTATTCGAATGTAAGAGAAAGCCTGGGAAGCAGAAGATTTTGGAGTCAGGGAAAAGTCAGGGAATTTGAAGATGAAGATATTATGGCAACCCTAGTTTAAGAATGAACAAGCTCTATAATACCAATTTTTACCAAATGCGATAAAACCTTCGTTAAAATCTAAGTCAAGAAATAGCCATTTGAAGTTAAGAGCTCCTTATGATGGACCTTGAGATTAGATACTGTTTAGATGAGAATATTCTAGGCAGCAAAAATGAACGGTATAAGTTGCAGAGTTGGTCCTTTTTGATCCAACAAATTTTGGGGGGTGAAAATGCTGACTGAAAATTATATAAAATATTTGTCATCATAATGGACCAGTAGACAAGGTACAAATTTAAGCATTCTGATACATGTTTCCACACCGAAATTTTACATAGAACACGATTCGCACAACAAAAATTTCTGAAATCACCTCCTAACTAAGACATTAACGTTTTTAGTTTACATTGCCTAGGTAAATTATGAATTTCCCGCTTTCAAGAAAAACAAGGTCTACTTGAATCAAATCCTTCACAGCAACGGTTGTAGAAGGCTTCTTAATGAAGCAATATTCTTTCCCCATTTTGTGTTTTTCAAAGTGATAACAACATGCACCAGCTGAACTGAAGCCCTGAGATTGAAGCTTCTATATTTTCATACTGCAGAGACTATTATGATAAAGTTTAGTGCAGTTTGACTCTGGTAAACCATTGTTCTTTCATGAGCTCGAGGTTTGAATTCAGGCGTAAAGTAACTTTAAATGTCTTAGCCATGCATTAGTTTCAGTAATTTTCATTGTGCGAATCATGTTCTGCGTGAAATTTTAATCAGGTAACATGTATCTGAATGCTTAAAGTACCCTCTCTGCTAATCTGTTGTAATGAAATTTTAATACAATTCTTATAATTGAGACACTAATCTACAACTTGGCTCTACTGTTTCAGTTGCATCTGGATCCAGTGATAAAGTTATATACATGGGCGAAATCGAATCATAATTCTATCACATACTACAAGACCTGAAGTTGCAATGTCCAGCTGATCTCAATTTCTCAGTGTGCGAAGACATCATTTTCCTTCTCATTTGTTCAGAATTATTAAATACTTAAGTCTCCGATGTATTTTTGAGAATATCAAGTCAAGGAGGTACCTTAAAAATGATAGTCTAACGCACTGTTCTATTTGCATTCACAATGAAGCGCAAAAAAGACAGTGAGGCATGGATCCTTGTTTGTGCCTCAGGGTTTTACTCTTTCAGCTTCTCTGAGAGCCCCAGCTGCAACTGCGGAGGGAACTTGTAGAGGGCTAAGTTGAAAAATGCTCCGATAAAATGTTCCTTTCAAAAATTTCTTTGGAATCAGCTTGAGTTTAAAAAATTTCATAGGTGCACAGGCATTATGCACAATCATCGTAAAGCTGGGTTGTGGAGTTCAAATTTCGGGAAACAATGATTTGAAATTAGTCATCGAAGCATTTCCAACAATCAATGATTCCTGAATTTCCTCAAGGGCATCAACAAAATTGAGCTCTGATGTGCGAGATAATTGTTTCATTGATATGTACGGTTTTAATCCATCATGATGAATGAGAAAGAATCTCACTTAACCTGAATCATAAATAGAGAATTGATGACCAGGTAATGGCTAGTCATCTCTCAGTTGAATTCTGCAGCACGTCCAAATACACCGCAAGGGAAACTCTAACTGTGCCCATGTAATTTATCTAGGTTCTGTCAGCTTTTACGCTGAAAGCAGATAGGCTTAGTAAGACAAGTATCTGGCTGAATCCAATTGGGTTCTGGAGATGGTTTTAATCAGGTTTCTTAATTGAAAGCTAAGTGAAACTTTTCATTTTATGAAATGCGAGTCAATTGTTTTAGTCATTTTAAACCGGACTCTCTTCATTTTTTTTGTGTTTAAATAAATGCAATAATGCATAGGTGTTAATAATGTGAATTGTAATAAATTGTAATGTAATGACTCAATAAAAGATATTTTTTACCGTAAAATTGTGAGAAAAACCACTGGCTGATCTGTCAGATTTAAGGGGATGAAATGAGGGGAGCTGTTATGCATACGTATTACAGCTCCCTGTTAAGTTCTATCCTATACTGACTGGGCTTGTGAGTGTATAAAACTTACAACAAAGCTGAATGTTATAAAATTTATAACTTTATTAAATCTAAATATAATCTGAAAATATACAAAATGAAACACATGTACAGTAGGTATATTCATAACAACAAAGTGAAAAAGTTGAGCAGCTTTAATGAAAGTAAATACTTTGCTCAGCAGATGAGCTTCTATCGTCACACCAGTTAACAAAACTACGTTGGAAAATTAAGCCCTACATTTAAAAAGTGAGATCTTCTTGAATAAATCTCAAAATTAGACAATATTAAAACATCAAAATAACTCTTGACTTCAATCTTTTTAGAAAAATACTTAAATTTCATCAAAACAGAATAATTAGATCTCCAATCCTATATTTCTTTGGCAAATTGTGCAAAACGTTGGCTTGCATCTGGTCAGTTGGATTCAGTAGCGCGAGAAATCCATATTAGGTCTTGAAAAGGGAACGAACTTACTGTTTGTAATTTGCGCACTGTTCTGGGAGAATGGGCTGACCAGGCAAATTCTACAATTTTTCCTCCAGCTCCTCTTGCCTTCATAAGAAGAGCTGGAGCTTACGTTGCTCGCTCTACCCTCTATGCACTGCCAATTAAATGTTAACATTAAAATGAATTTCCATAGGCCTAATGTTATTTTTCAAGTAAAATGCTTCAGATAAACAAAGTGTGCGAGGAAAGAATACTTCAATTTGCTCTAATTAGATCCAGGAGATGAAATAGGAAAAATAAAGCAGCTCAGAAGAAGGGAGCCTGTCACATTACGCTTAGGCGAAAGAGTTAAATGATGAGCATTGAATCTTCTCAAAATACAAATTTATCCCAGAACAACTTGCGTCATATTATTTTTGAAAGAAAAGAACCACCACTGAAGCAATGAGCCGTCTCTTCTGCTGAAGTTACATAAGAAGTCAGTCATATACTTAGGGGAGGTCTATGACTGTCTCAAAGTAAATGCATCAGACTTTAATTTAAAAAAAAAAAAAAAAAAAAAAAAAAAAAATCGGAAGAGTATATTCTAGAACTTCATAAAAAGATTATGAGGAATGCATCTTTTCAGAAAGAAAAGAGAAGCATTGATAAAATAAACGTCTGATATGTTTCGTTTTAACTGTGAAAATACCAGACTACATGTCTCGTTTGCGGTGTTTACATTTTTTTGAAAGAGAGCAAATCAATATCATTCCATGAGGTTTCCACAGAGTTCTCTTCGCTCAGAGAAGGAAAATCACGAAAGTTTTCAAGAATTGATGTTGAGCAGTTTTCCATTAAGAAAAGAAAGTATGACAGGAACTCTGTGACATCGCAAACTGATATACGAGGTCTGGTAGTTTCAAAATCAATTTTTCTTGCTAGCAATCCAATTTTTTGGTGGATTTTGCAGTAACTTCAAATACTTCAATGCAAAAAAGAAAAAAAAAGAAAACTTGTATAACAATTGATTATCTAGAGACATTTTCAGGTTTCTTTGGCAACTGAAGCAACAGCATTTGATAATTCTGAGAGAAAATATTTAACAGCTTTCTAAGAAACACATACTTTGCTAAAATGTTAAATGTTCTCATAGCATATTTCCTCAATTTAGTAGAGAAGTTCACCCTTGAATCATGATGAAACCAGCAGCATATGATACAGTTCAAAGAATTTAATCCTCCACACAAGAAACTAAGATAAAAGTTGGGTATTCTCACAAATTTCTTGCTATTTCTGTGGTAGGAAACAAAGACGATGGATCTACATTTACTTGAGCTTGAGAAACAAAACTTTCCTACGTATAACTTGTTTAAAATAAAGTAAAGATAGTTGGTAGACTGAACTTAAATATTTTTGAAGTTCCAACATGGATAAGGGAAGAGTCAACCTCTCATACGCATAATACTCGTATTCCAGATTCTTTTTGTTTAAATTATGTATTTTATTTCAATTTTCCGGATTCCTATTCCAAAACTCTGTTGTTTAATGTCAAAATGATTGCTAAGTCATTTTCAAGGAGAACCATTTTAAATTACCTTAATTTTAGATGTATAAAACGCATTTTTTAAAGATTTCAGAGTTGATTTTTTTACTTTTTCTAGAAATGACTGATTATCAAATAATAATTGATCCATTGATGCCTAGTTTCCACTCTTACATCTCACCATATTAATTATCATGTTAATCAGCAGCCAAGCCATTAAAACTTGATACAGTTGTTTTTGCAGACACTGCACGGTAACCTTTACACAAATTGCATTTGTCTGGCTGCAACCCAGTTGCATAATAATTTGATTGCTCTTTATTTTGCAATGAGGAACTACTGTTTCAGACTAATCCATAGAAACACTTAGCTCCATAGATAACCTTATGACACATACGATGTTTCTAGAGTGAGCCAGAAATAGTTCCTAATCGCAAAGACTAGCCCAACATCAGGCAAACTTACACCTTTACAGTTTTTGAAAGTAATTACAAAGGGTATTTCTAACTGACCATAATAATCGTCGTTTGGTCAAAATGAACAGTGACTGCACAAGAGACAACAACAAAAACATGGACAAAAAACATCGTTGTAGTAAAAATTATGATGTGTGTAATCTTTAACTATCTCATACCAAGAAAATCTTTCAGAAAGGAAAATTTCATAGAAGTTCAAGACAGTAAAAAGTTTGAATGTCTGAGGTCTCTACATACAGAGGAAATTTGTCCCTAAATTCATGTTGGACTTTTATTAAAAGCTTAGAACTGGCATATCTCAAAGTAGAGCGACATCTATTTTGGACCCATTATAAAGTTCAAAATTTAAAAAAAAATATCTGTAACAAAGTACCTACGTTGAATACTGGATAAACTATACCCTAAAAAGTTACAACCAAACCCCGGATGAGGATAATACAGCTGGCAAGGAGGCAAAAAAGCTAGCACTATAAGAAAACCATATTAAAGTAACATCATTGTTACCAACCCCATACAGTTTTTATAATATTCTGTCTGACAGATATGAAGGGAAAAGGAGGGAGAGCCTCAACTGAAGCAGAAAGGAATCAAAATTAGAGAAAATTTTTATAAAATAAAAGAAAAAGAAATTCAAGGTCATTCGTAAACTTAGCATCGAATTATTAGTTCCTTCTCCACGAATATCTTTCATCTTGAAGCGCTAAATAAATCATTGGTAAATTTAATTTCCAGCAATATTAACTTTATTGCAGGCTTGTATTGCTTGAATATTAGTGCGTGTCTCTTGGTTGATGGCTTTTTACTCCAGAACAATGCATCTAGTCGGATTGTTCCAAATTCTCCTCTCATGATTCATCTTCTAGAAGAAAAACAACCAAAATTAGAGGTTGGAATTTTCTCTGATTTTTCTTCAGGTAAAGATTATGAAATGTTGCGACTATGGTACACAGTTTTGGACTTGAGCCATCGTCATAGTTATTCTGCTTGGGCTGACAAGCAACTCTGACTGAAATGTACCTACTTAAGATTATACAAAAAAAGAGAGATTTTCCCACCACAAAGACAAAAAAAAATAAAAGGTACAGTCAGCTCAGAGTCACTTGGTGAAAGATGATTATCTAGTATGTATACCACACTTAGAAGATAATTTTTAGTGTACACTGCAAAATTGTGTACTCACACAAATGAAAAACGCAAAAAAAACATATTTACACGTAAAGTTGTAATGAAAAAACGGAAAATTAAGTACTTTAAAGTCAACCAAATTAAAGGAGTCCCACTGGGAAAAGGTATGAAACCAAAGTTCTGCTTCATGATCCACTATTACACTTAATAAGTTTCAACTTGAATTTAAAGGGAAAATTAAAGTCAAAATTAACAGCGCACGTTAAACAAATGTTATAAGCTTAAAGAAGATTGGATGAATTTTATTTCTCCTTCTTGTAAAATAAAATGAGTCTTAATTGATTTTTTGAGGCTGGAAACTCAAAATAACGGAAGGAAGATCAATTTACAACCTGCAGCATGCTAATTAATTGGGAATTTTGATCAGGAATACACAGAAGATGAAAACAAAACGCACTCTAATTTAAAAATGTTCATACTCTTATACTGTTTCATAGTGGGCAAAATATGTGCCACAAATGGATAATCAAGGCACAATGATCATTCGAGATCAATTAATGGTCACTTATTTAAAGAATGTACATCACAAAATGCTAAAATTGTATGAAACGTATATTTTCCCTTCTTAACCTTTTTCTCAGGTTTTGTTCCAAATTCGATACAAATTTTGAGTTTTTTTTTTTTTTTTTTTAAATTAATTAATGTATGTACAGCAGAAAGCTTTCAAAAATGGAGAAATTTAATTCGTGCAGAAAAATAATATGTACTTAAAAGGCTGCTTCTTCATTAATTTTGAATCTAAGATATTAAATGAAAAAAGGGCGTAAATTTCCACAAGGAAAGAGCCCCCTGTTCCGAAAGTAAAATTTTCTTGAAGAATCATTTTTGAAAGAATTGAGTGAAGAATTGGATGTTTGAATTCTTTACAAGAATATTCTCAAGAATTTCTGACTAAATTTGAGAGTGGTTTGAACAATTTTCATGTTTATAGAGAGCATATAAAAGTACGAATTCATAAAGATGTATACTTTAATTACGTGCACACTATAAAGAAAAACAAAGGTGAGATAAATTCTCAAAAAAAAAAAAGAAGCTTGTTGCATTTAAAACCATTGTGCCTTCCGTTCTTTTCTTTTTTATCTTTTTTTTTTTTTTCAGAACCATCCTCTGAGCAAACATCAATACTCAATTTTGTCTTCATTTATTGTTGCATGAAATTCATGGTTTCATGTAAAATCGACCCAACTTTGAGGTATAAGAGTGTAAATACATTTCTGTAAAACTATGTGCAGGAAATAGAGTTAATTTAGATTGATTATAAATTGAAAAAAGTAAGAGAAAATTGATCAGACAAGACAGTCAGACACCAGCTAATGGATGAAATAATAAAAGTGAAAGTAGTTCATAACAGCTGAAGTTTGTTAAAGTTTCCTTTGGCAATAATCTAATCATTTGTGATGGAGTCCGGAAAAAGGGTCTTTAAGATGGAAGAAAATAAAAAAAAAAGATACCTACACCACAGCTTAGAGGTATTGATTTTGTATCATTTAGCGCGAAAAGCATTCAAGAATTTTAATAATTGACCCTTTGAATGAATTTCAGAAAAAGAGGACAATGAAGTTTGTCAGCATTAGAAACTATTGATGTGACAATGTTATGACATCATTAACTTGAAATTAGAAATTGAGGCTTGAAATTTCGATCCAAGGTTTTGAAGATTATCACAAAGTATTCAGCATTAAAAACTATAGATTAATATTTTTGACCCCGATTCCGTTTTTTCACAAGGCTGAACAATTTAAGTCTCCATCTTATAGGCCCTTTAGTCCGACTTCATCACATTTCTTTTTCGTGATTGAGAAATAGAAAGCATCACACAATAAGGAACGTTATAAAATCATAATCCAGCAAGTCATTTCGCTGGTAAAGTTAAATTTTTAACCAATGGTTGAAAAATAATAACTTCCTCAAACTACACTCTACGAAAGATTCCACATCAGACGGTAATAAATTAAACAAAATAAATAACTACATCAATTTCATTCATAGGTAACAAATAAACAAGACAAAAATAAAATAAATCTAAATAGTTAGAATAATAAATAAAATATTTATGAAAAAAACAATGTTTTTAGTTACATCATTATCACAGACAACAATAATATAATAATAAAAATTAAATTTTCGATAGAAACTGCTTTTAAAATTGGTTAGGGTTAGTTCACTTAAATTATATTAGCTTCAATAATTTAAGTTCATTGTCTGTTTTTGGAAAGGAGAGGGTTGCACAATTTTTAGTTTCACCCTCTACCTTGAAACAGCAATGGTGTAGTAAATGCAGCTAAGCTTGAAGGATTATTTTTGCAAAATTAAGGAGAAAAATATTTTCTCTTGAGCATTGTATAACTTTTCTGCAAGGAAACCTTGGGAGAGTACAAAATCTTGGAATTATAAAACTGGAATTAAAACAGGCACTATATTTAAATAGCTGCAACGATAAGAAAAAGTCCTTCCATTTATGTTTACAATATCTAATGGAATTATATGTTTTATTTATTTGTCTAAAATTGCAAATAGAAGTTTTTTATCATCAATTTATGATTTTTTTTTGCAATTCAAAATTTTCAGGTACATTTTTCTTGTCAATGGAACAGGAGCTGTTATTAGGGGTAAAATTGCTCAAGAGTGCATAAAGTAATTTCAGACAGATTTTTGAATGAAAAAGTTTACCATTTGTGATGTTTTGTTGGTTGAAAACAAAATGCCACACACTCACTTCCATTCAATTATAAGTTATCAGCTAGAACTTCTCAAAAAATATTGATTTAAAAATGCTGTGCACTGCTAAATTGCAAATCATGCATTTTTTAGAAAGAGATGATTCTAGTTTTTAAGCTTCGATAACAGCACGGTTTAGAAAATTAAATTCCCTGATTTCTGTGATTCATATTGGTAATATTAATTCCCTGGCAATTGCAGTTATGCTAGGCGGTTAAGAAGACATAACTTGAAACAGTTTCAGGCAAAATTTGTTGTTGAGGACGTCAAACCCTTTCTAGAAAGCTAATGAAGGTGGGTTGACAATTTTTTCCTCACACTTCTGTCATTTCTTTGAAATTTCCAAGTTTTCCCTACTTTTAAAAATTCTCTGACGTTTCCCAGTTTTTCCAGTAATTCCTGACTGTAGCAACCCTGAAATCTTGCTTTCAAACAACCAACAATTGAAAACTATAAAATAGGATTTATTAGGTATGATGTATTTTTGTCGAAAAATATAATGAAAAATATTGAAGTATACACTGTAGAGCAGTTTTGTTAACACTGCCTATTTCATGGACTAAAAATCTACATCTGTACTCCCAAGATTTGTTGACTTGCTGAAATTATTGCCTGAAAAATTAGTACTAGACTTTTCAAGAGACTCACGTTAATAGATTCTTGCAGTTTATACGGAAAATTAATTTTGTTCGTATTACAATACAATATATACAAAAAGTAAAACCCAAATGGGTTTATTCACCGATTTAACCTCAATGAGAGAATCCATCATACGACTGAGGGATTCAGTACCACAAGTTCAAAAATATATTCAATATACAATGTATGTTGAATACATTTTTATTTTAGGGTATAATAATTTATAAAATTGTACTTAAGTTCGCCCTAAAATTTTCGCATTACTATCACCATTAAATCATTACAAAGCTTTGCAAAAATTTATCTCGACACTAAGGTCAAATTAGGCTGCATTCAAGTCTAAACTGATGAGAGAGCTATAAGGGATTAGGAGATTGCTGAAAATTATGGTAATGTTGTACTACCATCCAGAAATAAATTACTAAATCAGGTATCGATAAAATGTCAAATCTGATTGATCTAACATTATGAAGAACATTTAAGAGTTGAAAGAAGAATAATCAGACTGCTTCTATCTTTAAGAAAAAAAGGCCAAGGGTGTAAAGCTGAAAAATTCAATCAATAAACTTCATTCTTTCCTCTTTTCTGGTTTTCTTCCAAAATTTTAAAAAAATATTGTTTAAGGGAGTCAATTCTCCTACTGTTTGTGCGGAGGGTCCTTGTGCCGTCCGCGGAGATGAGAATACTCAGAAGGATCTACAAGAGGAGAAATGGTTCCGTTGTCTCGCGGCATAAGAACAATTGACCCATCAGCCGCCATCTGCAAACTATATTCATACGAGGAGTATGGGTTCCCATCGGGGTCCCTAAGATTCTGAAAAACATCCGAGAATATGCATTAAAAGAAAGTTCCATTATTTACAAGTCAGAGTGTTAATAAATATAAATATATCAATGGCTAAAACGCGAAAGCAAATATCTCCATTGCGGTGGTTCAAAATCTCTGCTCCTAATTCATTTATTCGAAGAGGAACATGACAACTTTATAGCTTTAAAAATTACAAAGAATATTTTGCTGACAGAGAAGAAAAATTAAGGATGTTTTCAAGAAATTATATTGACTAGTTTTCCAAGGAAAAAATAAAGCATGACTGGAAAACTACAACATCGCAAACGGAGAAACATGGTCTCGCACTTTAGTTATCAATACATCATTACCTTGATATTGATGCTATTGTATATTTCGAAGCACAGATTTTTGAATTATTCTATTATTATCCATGAGAATAATTGAACTCAAAGGTTTATAAATCACTAAATGATATAAACCTCACTACTCACAATTGCAAGGAAGATGCACTTGCACTCTTTAACTGATAGCAGATAGTTACATTATCGCTGTTATACATTCACAAAATGTTGAGATGAGAAATTCTAAGATACTAGCAGGGAGTTTTATCCATGATAAATAAACTAAAATTTTCAATTCAATGGAGGGCCCTTCTTATGACTACAAAACCCTGAGAAGAAACTTTAAAAAAACTCACCTGGAATATATGCCTGTACAGTTGATTGAATAATTCTTTAATTCGATGTCGTTCAGTTATTAAGTAATGCCTTTCCTTTTCTGCTCTATTTTTCCTATCTCGCATTTGCTGGACTTCATCAGCCAGACAAATTATTTGATCTAATTTTCGTTTCCGACAGTTTTGAGCGGCTACCTAGAATTCATGGCAAGTTAGCATACATTAATGGATTGACAAAAGAACAGAAATAATACGCATATTGTAATGGACGAGAGTTTGAGTCTTCGGAACATTATGAATTTGAAGATAAAACTTGCGAATGCTGCTGTAAGATAGGCAACAAAAAGATTCTTTGTATAAATTTTCATTTTGCTCATTACAAGATTTGTAATTTCTGATACCAAAGGCATTAATTTTCAGAATTTCTTTGCCATTGGAAAACTTGAAATAATGTACTTCATTCCTTGATGAAGATGAATCTGCCTTTGTGAAATAGAAGTTCATCCGGAAGAGAAATTCCTCGCTTACAAGGGGAGCTTCCCAAGTGTAACCGGAATTTCGAGGTGAAATTTCGCATGAAGATACTAGAGATGATTTTAGGGATGCCATATTTTTTCGTTTTTTCGAATGGGGTCGGGAAAGCCCTCAAAAAAAGGGCTAAAGATGCGGAAAAAACGCGTGCGCTAGCGGCACAAGGTAAACGTAGGTGATAGAGGCTCTGCATCCTTATCAGTGCCGCATGGCCAAACGGTAAGCGCGCTCGCCTTGCAGGCGGGAGGTCCTAGGATCGGATCCTGATTACATCTCGTAATTTTATTTTACTTTATGCTTGTTTATGTTTCACTTACTTTATTTTGCACCATTCGCTCCGCAAACCGACTTACGAGGTAGAACATGTAGTGACGGAAGATTTTTTACATATGCTGATAAAAACTCGAAGTTTCTCTTGGATTGAAACGTTATATATAATTGAATAAACAAAACACTCTAAAACTCACCAAATTTCGTTGCCAAGCTGAATTTCCAGAGTATCAGTCGAATCGACTGATACTCCGGAAAACAAAGCACAAAGCATAAAGTAAAATAAAATTACGAGCCGTAATCAGGATCCGATCCTAGGACCTCCCGCCTGCGGGGCGAGCGCGCTACCGTTTGGCCATGCGGCACTGATAAGGATGCAGTGCCTCTATCACCTACGTTTACCTTGTGCCGCTAGCGCACGCGTTTTTTCCGCATCTTTAGCCCTTTTTTTGAGGGCTTTCCCGACCCCATTCGAAAAAACGAAAAAATACGGCATCCCTAAAATCTTCTCTAGTACCTTCATGCGAAATTTCAACTCGAAATTCCGGTTACACTTGGGAAGCTCCCCTTGTTAGTACTGCCAAGTGAAGTCATTAAGAACTGATTCCTTCAACTTAAGTTTTGCTGTGTGGATAGGCTAGTTGATCTTTGATTGAAGTACCACCATAGCTGTCTGTTGGAATGATATCAATGGCTTTTCGAATGGAACCAAGAGAGTGACTGGAAAGATTTGTGGAAAGTGGAATAAATTTTGAGAAATGGCCATAACGAGTCGTCATGTAGAAAACGATATAATGGCGTCTATCAAAAGGTGGAACACACGTTATCTTTGGTTTCGAAGTTCACATTTCTTTATCTTTCACCAAAACATCTTCCAGTCTAGACCTTGGTCTCTGTGAAGCTGGAAGGAAGGAATATTGAAGCAGTGATGCATTGAAAAAATACTTACTTTATTTTTTCCTCTTCTTCTAATATCCCTAATTAAGGACAGCTGCGATTCTGACAAATCGTACTTAGACAGTCTTTCATTGAATTCATCCATAGGAAGGTTGATAATATCCATCACTGAAATGGGTATGTTTAAGGCTCGCGCTCTTTTTTCATCCCTCGTCATCTGCTGTTGATGCTCATCATTTCTACGACCTACAAAGCAAACCCACGGAGAAAATCATGTAAATTACAAAGGCTAAAAGAAAGGATTGAATGAAAAACAAGTTCACAAAGTGGCTGATTGGCTCTTTTGAAAACTATTTTTGGAATTAAAACCTTTGGAGGATGGGATGTTAGGTCATGACTTTAATCAGGTGACAAAATTGAAAGCGCTAAGTACCATCTCCTCTCAGAACATGAAATTTTTAAGTTATGATGAGGATTTAATAAAAAAGAAGGAAATAATGAACTGAAATACATACTTTATCCGATGCAGTTTTCCGATAATTGAATGTAGAACATTTATGAAAAAAAGTATTATTTTTCTACTAAAAAGAATCCACAAAAATGTATGTTTTTCTCTATGGGCCTTCAAAATTTGACTGAGGGATAGTTATCTCCTTTCACTTCTTTTACGTTTTCATTTAAATATAGCTGTCTGAGTGATAGTCACTAATTCTCCTGTGCTATGGAAAAACGCCTATAAACCTTCAGAAGTGCCAAATCTTCTTTGATAAAATACAAATTTGCACGAAAACTTGTGTACAGCTGTTTTTCCAATTTTTTGGAGAATTTCATCTGCAATTTTATCCATAATATCTGAAACACTTGGTAATTTCCTCAAAAATGAATGTTTCATAGAAAATTTGGTAACACCCGAATGTTCATATGGCGTTTTTCCTTAGCTCGTAAGAATTGCGAGTCGATAAAGAGATAATAGGAAAATATATCTTACACTTTTGTTTGTCTTTTAGGTACGGCCTTTGCATGGTACCTATATTTTCAGGGGGCAGATGATAGGTGTGATTGTGATTCACATGATCACCAATCCGAGAATCTGGAAAGTAAGAGAAGCGAAGTGTTATAAAAAATTTTATGAATAATATTTGACTGAGTGTAAGTCAGCAGCAAAGGATGGGAAAACGAAGAAAAAAGAGAGTTGAAAAAACAGGTAAAATATGTAATTAAAGAGGGTGATGAAGCTTCTTTGTTTTGAAACACCATTTATGAAGTTGTTTTATGAAGATAATGATTGATAATTAACGCCACTACAACAAAGTGGTTAGATGATCAAAAAAATAATGAGGACTCACTGGAAGTTCCTGTTTTTGCTTCTTCTTTTGAAAATCAAAACAATATCCCTCACCACCTTTTAGAGAGGGCACTTGGATTTTTAATTCACAAAATGGTGCAACCCCCTCACAATGGAAGAAAGAAAAAAAACCTGAGGCTGATTGATGAACTTACTTAAAAGGTTATTGCATGCGAATTCGATACTACAACTGTATTTAGATTCTTGTTGAGCCTTCATATCATGGGCTGGAAGCATGCTTGGAACAGGCATTGCTGTTGATGTAGATGGCTCGTACTTTAGCGGCGCAATTGCAGCTTCTTCAGGAGTTGCTGCAGAAAGGTCAGGACCAGCTCCTAATCATAAAAAGATGACACTTGGATGAAAAAATAGACCAAATATTTAGCAGGTTGACTTCACTAGGTCTGCTGCAAACTGTAGTCAAAACAAAAATGAGAGTTGTTCTACATGGCGATTGCTCAAAAATCACAATATCGGTCAAAGCTTGAGGGGCGCTGAAAATATGACTTTAAAAAACCGGACTAAAAATATGAGTAGGAAATTTTCACATTTTGAGTTTCTCACTTCATAAAATATGAGAAAAGAACATTTTGCATTGGAGACACAAAATGGGCAGGTCGATCTGCATTGCCTAACTTTTTCGCATCCCACACCTACTGGTTTAGAGCCGCGTCGTACCTCATATGTACCTTGACATTTCCACATCCTTACTTTGCTCAGCTTTTCATAAGCTGAAGTTAAAAAAAAGCCAACATTTTTCACCTGAACTGTAAAGTGAGAAGTGTGTTCATCTTACTTATGGAGCCATGTTGAGTGAAAAACGACTTTCGATTTTGTTCCAACTGAAGTTTGCAGCGGATTCATTACTACCACAGGAGGGGCCATCTCTTGAAAAAGGATATCGATCGCCAAAGTGCGAAACCACATATCTCTATTCGTGACGTTGTAGACTTACTGTTACACTTGATTTTCTCTTTGGAAAACTAGCCAACTTAATTTTTTGAAAACTTCCTTTTCCCTTTCTTATTAGCAAGGAAAATTTTTGACACGCTTTAAATTGATGTTAAAAATGTACCAAAGTTTAAAGTTTATATTCTTGCCTAGGTTCCTTTTCTCAGGGCTTCTCCAGTCTCCACACAGAAGCACGGAAATAATAAAATGAATCCTCCTGAACAATGAGAGGCAATGAAAATACATATAAAGGGAAAGATACCCCACTGCTTCAGACCTCACTTTTAACGTTGAGTTAATCAAGAATCTCTTAAAATCATTTTGGCAAAGTGATCACAAGAGTTAAGTTTTGTAATTAGTGGTCACTTTTTGGTGATAATATATTACCTTGCTTTAAAAAAACTAAGCTGAAGAAAACAAAGTATGAATGCCGCATTAAATACTATTACCGTTTCTGGTTGGTTGTAAAACATGGTGTCTACAATTCTTGGCCATGCTCATTTCCTGGTACCAATTTCTCTGATTTTCAGGAGTTCATTACTTGATGAGAAACCAAAGTTTTTTCCTACTTCCCCTGTACTTTTTGGGGAAGACCATCGAATTTTTATCATCTATCAGTCGATTTTTTGCCGCTCATTCAAATTTCTAATTTCAAAAGTGCCCCTGATGTTTGTATCATCTGTTCGGTAAAGCTTTTCAATTATTATGATGATTCGAAGATTAAAATATGTAATTAAGAGGTCAATAATGGCAGCTCAGGTGTAACACCATGAACCGAAAGATCAACAGGTATTTAAATTTCCACAAACTTTGAAAACAAAAAGGTCTTTAAGCGGTAGAGGAAGAGAATTCCAGTTTCTGGGACAGATTCCCTGGTTTTCCCCTGACTTTCTTCGAAATTTTTCATTCTTTTATGAATCCCAGAATTTTCCGGTCCTAGACACCATGTTGGGAAATAACGAGAAATAGATACCTGATGCTTGCTCCTGAAGGTAGCGTTTACCATACATATGGTATTTCTTTTGGGGAGCAACAGGAAGTCTGCTCGATGTGGAGTTCTCCGATGCGGTGTGCGAGCGAGTTGAGTATTGATAGTCATAACATCTATACTTTCTGTAATCGGAGTTGTAGTGATCTGCAATATTATGACCAGAATCTGAGTTTGTTTCCATCCATTCATTGTCGGATGAAAGTGAGGGTACGCGCTCAGAGCCCATCGAGCTGACAGCACTGTCTGAGTCGGTACCCGCTCTTTCACCAGTTGTGTGACATCCCATCATAGAATTATTTCCACCAACTGCTCCTTCTAGCATGCGCATTGAATACATCTCTGTAATATAAATACGTCCAAGGGTAATTCTCAGTTTTACCGTTCGAAAAAATTCATTTTCCTTGTCGCCATACGATTATCTGAGTAGCTTTCAATTTAAAGTTTCCGACCAAACTGTAACCACTGCATATACTTATTCCTCTAAATTGTTAGAAATTTTAGGTCGACTGAGTGACACAGAAACGATGAAAAATACGGGGACAAACTTAGTAATTCTAAACGTATGTTTGATTCATTTAAAGAACAGGCAATTTTTTTGTGCTTCTTCTACCCTGTGATTTGAAAATCTTCAGTTTTGAAATGCAGTTTATCAATAAAGTCGTGGAGGTTCCAGAGACTGCCTCAAATCTTTAACCATCCATTTTCTTCCTGTTTTTCTCCCACGAAATACTTGAGAGCTTTCGAAAATTTTGAGTTACTTTAATTGCTGTAGAAAATGTAACAAAGAATGTTGATACATCCAACCAATTCTTAATTTTTTTCTTTTTTTCTTGACGGACTGTTAAAATTAAAAGTCCCCAGATAATCGAAATGTGACGTATACTTAAGATCTCTAAGTTAAGATTAGTTTTCTCACACAAATTATAGGATAAAGGCATGTTTGTTAACAGTGAGAAATAAATCTGTTGTTAGGAATCACATAATAGATTACAGTAAATACAACTTAATTACCAGGTTGAGTAAATAAAAAATTGAAAAAAAGTCATCGAATTAAGAGAAGTAAAAGACATAAAAATTCTTTCAAGTAATAAAATTAGTTCATTCGAATTTTCATTGAGATAGAATTTGAAGAAAATTGAATCCTTCGACATTAAATCATGATACTTCACTACTATATACTACCTTGTGCTATATACTACAAATAATTTCAAGGGCACAAATGAAAATTACATTAATTTTCTGATACAAGGATAATCAAAAACTCCCCCTCCCCAGAGAAAATGAGAAAATAGGTCGTTAAATCCACATGGTATGACACGGATTGATCATTGGTTAACAAAAAATTGTTGCATCCATGAGAAAGAAAAGCTGGAGATGCATCTCTCATGCAAGCCGCAAAAAAGGGCATTCAACCAAAAAATTTTGCCAAAAACAGTGAAAAAATTCTTCATACAAATCCAAAAATGTATGTGAATAATTACTGATGATTATTTTGATGCATTGTTGTGCACAAAAATATTTTTAGTATCCACTCACACTCACCAATCGGTTTTATGCAAACCACTAATATTTTCATCTTGATGAAGTATAAAACTGATAAAACAAGATGAAACAAGGCCAAGAGTAAGAGAAGTACTAAAATAAGCAATTAAAGTTTCACAGATTGAGAACTACTTGGACGACCCGAAACTGAAATGCTGGGATTATACTACACGCACAGCTCACCATAGACTAGTGACATTTTTGGTGGCGCATAAATTAGCCTAAGAAAATATTTTAATGTCTTCAAGGAGTGACAATCAAAATGACAGTCATGATGATCGAGCAGTTACAGGTCTAGGGAACTTGATAATACAGTCATAGCAGGTTTCCAGCCGGTAGGTAGTCTACCCGATGCACTTTCTCAGCTGTTGCCATATTTCAGGGTGCCCCGATTTATTGAAATCAGTTCTCAACATACTAGCTTGGGATGCTGAGAAGGTGGGGAGGGGGAGGAGGGGGCAGTTGCCTCTTCAAACCTGAGAAATTATATTTTTCAAACGTAAATTTAGGTGATTTTTATTCATATTTTTCCTGACATAAGCCCTTTCTCCCCCCCCCCCCCCCTTCGAGTACATGTTATTTTCTACAAGACTACGCTAAAAGGCAAGGAGAGGGAGCCACTAAAATAAGCAGCACAAATTTTAGAGAAAAAGTAGATGAAGATATAGAGAATTTTGAAAATTTTAAGTGCTTGCAAAGAAAAACAAGGAAGGTAATAGAGATAACTTCTGAAAAAAATTGGAAAATTTCATACAGCATGCTCAAGAATTTAGTGATGAATGTAGAAGGGTAGTTTCAACGAAAGAATGCAAACTTTATTTCTTGTGTGTATTTAGATTTATGGTGGCAAAGAGACAACATGAACAGAAAGCAAAGGACAGATTATAAAATAATCATATTTACCTTCATTCATTGCCATATCCATTAGTTGCAAGTCTTCGTCATTCAAGATTGATGATAGGAATCCATCGGTTTGGTTGATTTCAGACGAGGAGTTCTGAGAAAATGAAAGAACACAATTTTTGAATGAAGGAGATAGATAATTCAAAAAACAAGTAAATTCCTGTAGGCATTGGAAAAAACAAGGAATATTGAGCTCCTGACAACAATAACCCTCATTGCCAAACTCGCACCAAGAGAGGTGTTAAGCACCAATTTGTTTTTCTCAGAGAATTTTTCTTGCATGTTTGCAAATATTTATAGCTGGGAGATATTTTAATTAGTTATCTTGGAGAAAACTCAAACTTATTTGGAGATTTCAAAATATTGTGATAGAGATATGCATTATTCGACTCCAGTCATAGGGAAATACGTCTACAATCTTGCACAGCCAAGAACTTGTTTTTCACAAAGAATTTTGCAAATTGGTACTGCAAAAGGATACATAGAGATAGAAACGAAGAGGTAATTTAGATACGTTTTCATTAGAGTATTAGAGCGCTAGACCTGTCTGTCTGACGAAGAAAGGTTCATCGTTCTGAACTGCGAAACTGAGATGAGATTATACTTTTGCGGTGACCGCATATTCTGCCTTCAATTCCACAAGATGCAATTTCTCAAACACCGAAGTACTCATGGCTGCTTCCTCGTTGTTTCCGGGATTTTCTAACTTGCCGTCTAGCGCCCTACCGCGTGTCATGATGCGGGTTTTAAAAGATTAGCGTTAACACGCTTAATTACCTGGTAATACATCATGTCATGAGAACTGGGCTCCATCTTGAAGCTGGCGCCAGAATTTTCGTTTCCGATTGGTTCGCTGCTGTTCGTTAGATTCATCGATGTTGCTACGGCTGAACCGAAATTCGAGTTGGCGCCTAGAAAAAATAAATTTAAAAAATAGAGACTATTAATCAACAGAATTGACTGGTGAGTCGATGGTCAAAATGCGAAACCACGTACCTCCATTCGGTTGTTTCAAAATGTCCAATCCTACTTTTTTTTTGAAGAGAAGCAAGCTAACTTTGCGGCTAGCAATTTGCAATTTATAAAGACTGTGACTATATATTAGCTAGATATTTAAAACATTGTTTCATGTAAAATCTAAAAATATGTATTTATTTTAACTCTTAAATGTTAATAATATTAAAATTTGTAACTGTTGATAAATTTCGAGATTTTAAATTTATTTTTCATTCTGCTAACAGAGAGGAAAAATCAAGGATGATTTCAGGAAGTTACGTTGACTTGTTTCCCATTGAAAAAATAAAGTATGGACAGGAAGTCTGCGACGTCGCAAACGAAGATACGTGGTTTCGCAATTTGGTCCTTGATGTGTCGTCAGAGTACCCAAAAGGTTGGCAGAGAGGTGGAAAATGGTAAGGAAAAATTAGAGCTTCTGCACTGTCCTATTACGGAAAAAATTCGTGCTTACGAATTTTTCCCCTGGATTTTCCAGAGTGTCTCAGCTTTTCTTGACTTTTCTTGGTAACCGCCCACTGACATTACTCTTTTTAAAATCATATATTATAACCTAATTTTTTTACTTTCACCCCCTCCCCCTAATTCTCTGATTTCAAAAATCGTCAGTGTTTTGGACTCGGGAAAAGATTCTTTATCAACCCTAAAAATATTTCATTCAAAGATTAGGCCGAGGCCATAGATGACCGATTTTGAATACGCTCATTTCCTGATTTTCAATTTGAAAGGGAGAAATTTGTCTTTAAGCAATAGATGAAGAAATTCCCAATTTCTGAAACAGACTCCCTGAGTTTCCCGGGTCGATTATTGAAACTATGACAGTGCGACAAGACGAGACAAAGCCCTATCTTTACCATGTAATATATCGCACTTTGATGTCTTTTCAAAAATCGGCCCGCACCCTACACCCTGTAGAGTAAACTTTTTTTCTCTCTCTCTCTGCTGGTTTGATGGCTTCGTGTCTAGCACCTTCAGCCAATTTTAGAGGATGTTTAGTGTCCGTAGACATCGTGGGATCTCCATGCTCCAGGCTTTAACAATTTTCAGGGATAAGGGCCGAGGAGAATCTGTTTCCGCAGATCTACTCGTCAATTCCGTGAAAATTAGACGCCACCACCGGGATTCGAACCCAGGACCTATTGATCTAGAGTCAGGCGCGCTGACTACTAGGCCAACCTGGCCGGCAAGCCCTATCTTTACCATGTAATATATCGCATTTTGATGTCTTTTCAATAATCAGCCCGCACCCAAAGACAACCTCCACTGACCTCTTGGCGACAGGTGGAAGCTTTTACTTTCGGGGATTCAACAGTTCCTTATAGACAATTATAAGGGAGCAACAGTCATCACCCTAATTTCGACTGTTGACCTACCTACATGGTCGATGATGAGCTTCGGTTGACGTAATGAGCCAAACAAGTTTCCTAAACTTTGGCCATTTTCGGCTTGTTTGCGAAACGAAACTGCCAACACGTTGTTAAACATCAACCATGTAGGTAAGTCAACAGTAGAATGCTGAAGTCCCGAAAGTAAAAGCTTCCACCATGGCCAAGATACTAGTGGAGGGTCTCTTGTCTCTGCCCGCACCCTACACCATGTAGAGTAAACTTTCCCCGGATTCCTTACCGATGGTGGGGTAGGGGCAGGAACTATTGAGGTCGCCGACGGGCGGGGCCAGGGTGGCGTTGTGGAGGAGGACGCTGCGGTCAGGCTGCGGGAGGGCGGAGGTCATGTTGTGGTGGTGGTGGTGATGGTGGTGGTAGCTCCCGTTGGCGGGGTGTCCGTGGGGGTGGCCGGGGTGGCCCCCGTGGGGCGGGTGCGCCGGGTGGTGTCCGGGGTGAGCCGGGTGGGCCGGGTGGTAGGCCGCCGCCGCTGCCGCCGCGTGGTGCTGGTACGGCGACTCCGGCAGCGAGAGGAAGTTGGCCAGGTCCTGCCACCGCTGCTGCTGCTCCATGTTCATCGGCCGCATGTACGACATCCGACCCTGAGCAAAAAAAAAACAAACATTCGTCAGTAAAGTATTCATCGTACATGAAAGTTACGAGATAGAGTTTCCATAATTATTGACCTTTCCCAAACTCCAAAATTCCCAAATGAAGGGTATTGCTAAGGGCCATTTTTGGGCCCACCCTACAGCTGAGTTTCCTCAACTCTACGACTTTTTGCTCATTGAAAGTCTATATTTTACGAAATGCATCCTGATTTGGTCATTTGCGGGTTTGCTACTGGCCTAAATAATAGACCGCGTCAAGCAGAAAGGAACCAAGCCACATCAGCTATTGCCAAATTTGACTGGGCAATTTAATTTTTTACAAGAGAACGTTCTTGCAGATTCTTTTGAAAATTTTAAGGAATTTGCCTCGTACTATGCAGAAAATTCACTAAAATTTGCCTAAAAATCCGCAGAACTGTATTATGTAAAAAATGTAATTGACAAGTTAAATTTGGCAATAGCTGATGTGGCTTGGTTCCTTTTTACTTAAAGCGGTCCAAATATGCTTTTGCCGAAAAATGCGGGTCTCGGCATTTGACCGCAAACCCGCCTTCAAAATCGGCCTTCAGATAGGTCAGATCTACACCGGGAAAGAGACCGAAAATGACTAAACCATGATGCATTCATGAGTAAAAAATCGTACATTTTTTGAGGAAATTCAGGGTAATCTCAAAAACAGCCCTTATCGATACCCCTCCTTTCCTGACTTTTCCTAACCTTCGAACAAATCTACTTCTTATATTTTTTCTTTTAATGGTGCTGACTTTTACTAAACTTTGGACAAAATTCCCACTTCCTGGTATTAAAATTATGAAAATATGCACTCGAGAGCTGTTCGCGCTCTCTCGAATGACATCGGTCCGAACCGACGTGCTTTTCGTGAAATTCCCAGGCTTTTCTTAGGAATTCCGCGACTTTTTCAGGTTTCCGACGACTCTGAATCTAGTATAATTAACTAAGTAAAAACTTAGTAAATTATAGAAATCACGAGAGCCGATTGGAAAATTCGTTTGTCGTTTCGACTGTTTTGACAGTGTCGACGGTTTTGAAAAAAGAGCGCGGAATGCGCATATGTAAGGATAGTTAACACAGGAAGCCTCTATGGGTCCACTAACTCAGATTCGGCTTACTCTTTCATCTCCGGCACGAGATAATTCCGTCGATTGGCCAATCGGGAAAAAGAACTTGAGCAGCCGCGCATCAGAACGGATTTTAACGAGTTTAACGCTGTTCCGTGTGTGTTGGCTCCACAAGTTTGTACACCGCAGTAGTGTTTGCCACACTGACACCAAAACAACGATTTTTTTTCCTCTTCAGGGGGAGGTAAAGGTACGGAAGAATGACAGGGCGGGGACGATGATCTGGCTGATCAGGAAGCTTGGAAGAGGAGAAAAAGGAAGAGATGGTGTGATAGACTGAGAGCCGGGAAAGGCACCGAAATGCGGTTCAAATGAAAGGAGCTCTTGGTAAAGAATACGAAAAGGTGACAAGCAGACAAGCACTTCGGTTCATAAGAAACACCAGAATTTCCGGCGCAGGTAACCGAGTTTCCAGACACACTGAAAAAAAAATCCGGCGGTGGAAACCGTACTTACGGGCTATATGTACAGACATACCGTCCGCGTTCCGGGCTCAGAGGCCGAAAGTTCCGGGCGAGGCACCTGAAGCAATCGAAACTACGGCTCCAGCGCCCGGAACTTTCGGCCTACGAGCCCGGAACGGACGGAGCCCGTAACTTGTTTTTCAGTGCAGGAGTTCTTGGTGAAGAATACGATTCTACGTGGCACTCCGGCTATACCTGGACCAAAAATTCCGGCTACCTGGACCGGAAAACTCGGGTGTCGCTACCGGAGCTCGTGCGGCGGGAACGTGGCAACGGTCGAGCGACACGGGGCGAGCGTGCGAACGCGGACATGCGGGCGTTAAAATTACAGAGCCGGGAGAACGAACTAATCAGCGGTGGCTTTAATGAGCTCGGAATTAAGACATGGCATACTCGGCTAATGTCCCCCCATTAACGGCGAGACAGCCGCGCCGGCTCCGGGGGCTCGGGATCCTCCAAATCTCTCGGGGCTCCGCTCCGGCGCCCCTCTCACGTAACCACGTACCTCGATCCCCACGTGAGCCCTGTTTTACATGTAAATACATGCTCTCCAGGGCTCATGTGGAAATCGAGGTACGCCCTTACGTCGGAGGTGTGATGCTGGGAGCTGTGACTGATAGCCGAGTAGTTAATCAGGGATTCCTGCCGTCCCACTCGCTCGCAGCCGAGGCCTCTTCGGTGATGCCCTCGTTTCGTCGCTCCTCCGATCTAAGGGCGTGCTTAGATTTCTACGTGAGCCCTGGTGTCCATAAAACGCCATGCTTTCCGCGGCTCGTGTGGAAATAGAGATGCGTCGTTACGTTTGAGACTTTCCCGGCTGTGATTCCCAGAATACGGAACTTCGCGCAGGTTTCGTGGGATTCGCGAAGATATCTGTGGTATACGAAACTGGAAGGTACACATCCTGGTCGCTGCGGAGCCTAACCCAGCGGGACGATTTTTCGAATTGATAGACAAAGATATAGATAGAGAAGACATAGGAAATATGGAGGGATCCTATTGGTGGGAGCGGATATGGTTGCGAAGGACAAATGAGGTATAGGTAATAGACTAACTAACGGATGCCCACGAAGGACCTCAAAGTAAGTCCATCATTTTCTCCTTTAGTCTATAAGAATCATTCATTTCAACCAATAGGATCGCTCCATATTTCCTATGTCTTCCTTGTCTATCGCTCTGTCTATCAATTTCAATGATCAGCCCCAAGGACGCTATGTGCCCTATAGGGCCCCTGCATACAATTAGAGCGGACTCGTCTAGGGACATGAACAATCTCCTGGCGATAGCCGCCAAAATCATTAAAATTGGCCCGGTGGATCTTCAGAACGAACTGTGAAAAAAATGATGAAATGTTTAAATGGGAAAATTCACGACTTTATCACGAAATGCAAAAAAACCGAGGATTATATTTCCAAGATCTGAGTGTGGCGGGCTCAAATGAGAACCATCACCCGTCGATAGCCGAGCAAATCATGCAAGTCGACACAGTTGAGGGAACTGTGACAAAAGAATGAAAATTTCAGGGGGTCGGAGAGCTAAGGGTAATGATGGTCGTATTTGTGACCAGATTTGTGAGAGGGGATCTGATCTTGTCCTCCGAACAACAATTTTTATTTTAACTTTTTGCAAATACACGAAGGAAGAAAATTTGGAAATTTTGGCTAAATTTTGACCCTAATATCTGAAAAATTGAAGAAGATATTACATTAGTCCTCAAGTGCCAAGAAAAATATTATTAGATTGTAAAAAACATGATTTAAGTATTCGCAAAAAGTTAAGGAAAATATTCTCCCAGAAGATGAGATTTCTTTACCCAGATTCAGTCACATTAATGGAAAAGAGAGTATGTGAAAATTCATTAAATCAAAGGGAACTGTGTGAATAGGGGTTGCATGCTACATCGGTTTTTTTTCTCGATTTAATTCACGAAAAATTTTAGGCGCAAAATCTTTTTAAATTTCAATAAACGGATTGTTTCTGCTGGAAAAAGAAAGATAAAGCTTGTGCAGCAAAATTCCCTGGCTTTTCAAGAACTTTTCATCTAGTGACTTTCACGACGGAAGTCCAACATTGACGAAATGCACGATGTTTTACACGCGGCGCTCTCTCCTCGACACTCATTTGGGCCGCCTGCGATCCTGTGAAACAAGATGCAAATTTTTTCCTCTCTCCGTTCTCGAAAACGAATTTTATCGGGTTACTCGACGTTTTTTACAGGATCGGTGACGCGTTTTTAATTCGATCCGCGATGCGTTAATCTGAGTGTCGATCGAAGAGCCGTGAGAACCTGATGACGTAGGCGAAGATGACATCTCCGACGGCCGGAAGTCAATGGAACCAGTCTCGTTTCCGCGGACTTTCCAGTATCTGTCCTTCTCAATAATTTAACGGAATTAAGTTTCACTTTTTTCCAGCTGTCTCCGTTGATTACTTTAACTCTGCAACTTTTCATTTTAATTGGAGTAAAATCATGTGTGGACGTATGTTGTAAATCTGTTAACTTCTTCTGTTGTGATGCACCATAGGTACACTTGGGTCATAAGTTGGCCACATTTTGCAGTAAGGAACCACTCTTCCTGGCTCATTTCAGAAACGACATAAATGTCATTGGTTTCCCTACGCAGGAAGGTGTTTTTACGGAAGAGCCAGAAAAAGGAGTTCCTTATTGTAAAATGTAATTCAGTCGTACATCAACGGTGAAGCTCCCAAACCACGTATCACGTTTGCCGTGTTGCTACAAATGCGGTATTGTTGTGAGGCGGGTGTTACATGTTCTTCCTTTAAAAAATAAAGTAAGATAGGAGGTCTGCAACGTTGCAGTCCGAGATACGTGCTTTGGGAGTTTCATAAAGTTTTTTCTACGATATAAATCGATCGAGGCATCAGCTCTCTCCTGAATACTAAAGGAGTTAGGTAAATCAATTCAAGAAAAGGAGTCATGTGCACAATTGTTGACTTCTCAGATTCCCTTATTAGTGAAATCAATTCAAAGAAGGAGACCAACTGCTTAAAATGATGCTCTTAAAATTTTTCAAAGCAAATTAACGAGCACATCCTTTCTTTCCGAAAAACCAACGAAGACAACGACTTGCATCCTTCCTATCAAACTCGATCCTATTTTTGAGCAACAACACTCGACAATCGATAAAGAGGCACTCCCGAATCCAAACCGCTCTGCACTCTATCGATTCATACCCCACTCACTCTGAGCTTTTACTTCGAACGAGGCGTCACGGCTAATAGCGGAGGATAAATAATAATTCGGATAATTCACGGCTGGAGGAAGCTTCATGGGCGAAGCCGCCAAGTTTCGCAACGCGATGCACGGCCGGTAATTTATGGAGCCGGGAATCCGCGGCTACAATGTTCGAAAAGTCAATGCGAGGGG